GGATTTTTGAGTATGTGGATGGTAATAATGCCTAATGTTATCTGTTTTTTAACAAGAATATTACGATTTGTTTTAGGTTGATGAAAGAATAAAACAAATTTGTATTTTATTTTAAGCTCTTTAAGTTCTTTGAACTTATATATTTATATATATTTATATGTTAACAATAATTCAAAATCTGTAATTATCCTTGTTCTGAAATATATACCACTGAAATTATAAATGTCACAGCTATGCAAATAAAATGAGAGTGGCTGTACGTTTTATATGGAATCTTGTGACTGGAATTACTTAGAAATCACAATATCACACATTCACTCTTTATGACATTAAACAGTCATACAATCTCCAAGCATCCCCGTTCTCTCTCTCTCTCTCACTAACACACACTTTCCGGTTACTATGCCCACTACCAATCCAAATAAACACTTATTGCTTGGAGTATGTACTTCCTAAGGGAGAACGCCAAAGAAATAAAAAGGTCAGCGTGACGTTAAAAACTGGCGAAGGGTGTAGGTTTTGGCGAGGGCACACACAGCTCGGCTCGCACTTAGGCCTCGACGCACTTCATTCCATGTACAATGGAATAACCTTGGAGTGGTCAAATGTTGATATTCTGGATAGATTACAAGAAGCAAGAAAGCAGAGATGGACGAATAAAGCCCTCCAGGCCACAGATTTTTTTCAGTGAGTGCATCTGTGCCACAAATCTCCCCCAAACGCAGACACTTCAAAGAGCAGCAAGAACAGCTAGGAGAATTTACAGCCCCTACATTCTTTTACGTTTCACTGCCACCGGGCCGAGAACCCCTCCCTGTCTTTCCTGTTATCTGCGGCTGCAGTGTGCTTTGCTGCATACAACATTTAAGAGGTTTTATAAATATTTAAAAGTATTTCTAAAGCACACATCTGTTGGTGAGTGGCGAATGCTGGTGTGACTTGATAAAAGTGGAAGAAAAGATATTCTGCGTACACAGTCGCACAAGCACTCACACGGCAATAAAACGTGCTTTAAAAGAACACTAAAACACATTCTCACACTGCCATAAAACGTCACGTCACGCGCTGGCGTGCGCGCGCGTACACACACAAACACACACACACACACACACAATACAGCAAACAAATGCGCACTGTAATAAATTCTCTCTCTCTCTCTCTCTCTCTCTCTCTCTCTCTCTCTCTCTCTCTCTCTCTCTCTCTCTCTCTCTCTCTCTCTCTCTCTCTCTCTCTCTCTCTCTCTCTCTCTCTCCACGCTCACACACACATACCCAGTGCAATAAACACACCCTCAATAGCCAGTGTGGCAAAATACAAGAATGAACACTAGATGGCGCCAGATAGCGGGGAAATGGCTCGTGTGCTTGGATTTGTGTCAACAGCTCTCAACAACAGGCTTACCAGATTCATGCACCTCGGAAGATGGAATTAGGAAAATATGGAAAAAGTTCTTTAAATGCACACGTTAAAAATAGGCCTACTAAATATTTAAATGTTCATTGTCTACTGGATAGATATTATTTTAAACTTTGAGTATAAGAAACAGAGATCATTCTTAGAGATGTGATGTTGATTCTAAGCATTTTAGTAATTACGTATTTGTTCAGTGATAGATAGATAGATAGATAGATAGATAGATAGATAGATAGATAGATAGATAGATAGATAGATAGATAGATAGATAGATAGATAGATAGATAGATAGATAGATAGATAGAATATGTTTGTATGTTTTGTTTGTGCAAATAGTGGTTCGTCTTTCATTTCAAACATTAGCCTATCCATGTTCCATCCACGTTATAGCGTGTTTAGAAAAAATAGCATTTAAATAAAAACCGAAACTCAAGGAACGTTACAAAATTGCTGGGCGGAATTGAATGGATGAGAACCGAGAGAGGAAACATGTCAAGCAGAGCCGCGAATAATCATTACGTCCCTCTCACTGCAGCCGGTAGAGTAACCTGGAAGGTTTGTTCATCTGATCTGGAAGTGAAAGACGTCCTATTCAGAACAAAAGGGGACTCTTGGGTATTTTGGGTATTTTGAACATATAATAGCCTATTAAACATTACTCTAACGATTTATCACGTATTATTACCGTATATTTAGCAATATTTTTTGTCTATCAGTTTCTTTTTGCCTGTGATTTAGGGTGGTATTAAAGCATTTACCATCTATGTAACTTTTAATGTCGCACCTTTTAGGACTATAGGTAGCCTATGTAAGGCTAATCCGATTGGCAAGACAACAGCTTCTTCAAACCTCGCCCTCTCGCCGCAGCCATGACTGCGCTCCATATCATAAATACAGTAATGCAGTGGAAAACCCGAAACCAGCACATCTGAATCTCTATAAATGCACACAGTGCATTAGGTCTAAATACTTTGCCGCTGGCCAGAAGAAGAAAAAATACATGGAAAGGTACCAAAACGCTTATTCCGCTCCACCCAAAATGGAAATGAATAATTGGATTTAGATAAGGTGTTTACTTGTAAGCTGTTGTGCACGCGCGGCTTATTAGTAGAGTACATCCATCAGTGCGCATGATTAGGCTTGGTCGAGTTCTTACCTCAGAGAAACGAAGCGGTTGCGAGACAGTGACAGACTTACCTTTGTTGATAATTCGTCACCCAGCACCAGGACAGAGAGGCGCAAACCTCTCGCCGTAGCTCGCGCTCGGTAAGTCCTGTTGCTCTTCTCGGTCCCGCCATTAGAGCGAAGCAGTGAAAATGACAGCGACACCACAGCTTCCATCCGCTTTAGTCAACAGGAGTCAGACCCCCGTATGAAAAATTAGACGAGACCCTACTGCGTGTCCAGATCTCAATAAGACTCCATCGCAGTGGTTATCCCAATCACAGACGGCCACATTAGCATAGCAGAGAGGAGAGGAGGCTGTTCTCTCCCTGTTCCATTTGAGAACATCAGCCTGAACAATGCTCTCCGACTGTATGGATTTTCAGTGTTGGCCAAAATACACTATATAAAAAAGAACTAGAACCTTTAAGGAGCACAGTGAAGCTACATTAAGTGCGCGGCCAAAAGAATGCTGCAATATAACCACTTGGGAAATCATAAAAAGTTCATGTTCACGGTTACTCGTCCACATGACCATCCTCGGCCAATCCCAGGACCCAGGCACTCATAAAGTTCTATCACAAAGTTGTAAATTTTCATAAAACAACAAGGAATTTATTGCATTTCTTCATGAGTGTTTTAACAGCAGTAGCTCTGCCGTCGCCATCTTTTCCCTATACAATCGCCAGGAAAATCTAATATTTTTCGTGTTTGTTTGTTTCCATGCACTGCTTTATTTAAAGCTAGCTGAACAGCTTATTAGTCGATCGTGTGAGATATTAGGCTTGAACATGTGTTATTTGTGTTTTTAAAGCCGAAATATAACACCAATGCGGTTTAAGATTTAAGGCAATTTGCAAGCATCAGCTTTAATACAAAATGTAGCCACCCTAAACAATGTCGCGAATGAAGGGAAATCAAACTTACAACACTTAATGTTACGGTGCTATAAACTGAGTGACTAAGGCAATTATTATTATTAATATTATTATTATTATTTTGTTAAATAGGATTGGATATAGTGTCTATCTTAAAGAGGATGTTTGCTCTTTATTTTGTATATGGCCCACATAAGGATTACGTTAAAAGCAGAGCCATAATATCAAACAGTAATTACTATTAATATGAAATACGAAAAACATATTATCCGATTCATATAGCCTAATTATTTTTAATACTTACTTAATTGATTAATATTTAAGAAAAAAATGGAAAACAGTCTGCGATTCAAACAAATATGCTACTTCTCTTTGGCATACCGTATTATATTTGATCATCATTAAAAATAAAAACATTTCAGAACGAAATATTTAGGACAAAAATATTTGTCGCGTTATGGCAACTACGCCTATAGGTATATGCTATACAGTGTAGGCTATGCACTAGCAAGCACTTAAACAGGCCTTCACGACAATTTCGCAATGCGACAAAATGCAGATAGCATCCATAAAGTTTGGGGATTGCTTCAATCAAAATAAGCAAATAAAAATATGGATTACTTACATTGTTAAAGATTTGTCTAAATCGGAAAAGGTATTGTCACAAACTTTAACTGCTGCTACAAGGTCTGAAGCCCGAAAAGACCGGCCGCTTTCCTATTCTCCTGATTTTTTGTTGTTGTCCCTTTTATGGCATTTCCGGCTTTTTATTGATGCACTAAACACATTAGTTTACAACCCCATAATATAAACGCCTTCTTTTGGTCTCACACGACACAGAACCTGTCACTTCTCTACAAGAACTCGGCTTGACCTGAGGAAAAAAAAAATTAAGACACAATAAACAAAAACTATTGAATTGATGTTCTCGGGGCAACGACAATGACGAACCAAAATAAAATTAAGCCTATAGCCCATTAAAACAAACAGTAAACTAGTCCTCATTTTTAAACAGATTTGTGATATCATTACGAAATCTGCTACATTATTGCTCATTTATATTTAAAGATTTAATAGGTAAATATAGAAATATAGGCCTATTTTATTTCAATGATTAGGCTATATTTTGTCAACAGCAGAATTATTGTAATTCCCCGAATAATCCAAAAGGATGAATAAAACCAAAATATTTTATTAATAGCCTATAATGTAGCCTAACTGTATATTAAAAAAACAAACAAAAAACATATCGAAGATTTAACATGGTGGTGAATATAAATGAATAATAACTAACCACCCTAAAAATGGTAAAGATTCTGCTCCTGAGATTATTATTATTAGTATTAATATTATTATTCAACTGAGTCTTTTTAGGAACAGTTTTAACAGGCAGGGGTCTTTATAAAATATAAATATATGCTTGTGGTATTATCACATTCAGGGTTATTTGGCACAACGATATTGTGATTTTACTCCGACTAGAAACGAAAAGCAATACAGAAAAGAAAACTCCTGGAAAGGCAAAACATAATTTTTTTAAACATATTGTGGTCAGCAGTACAGTTTATTTGAACACTTATGAACAGGGAAAATGCTTATACATACAAAAATGTACAGCTAGATAAGCCTACATAACAGGTATAGGCCTATATCAAAATGTGTTAGAATGCAAAAAAATAAAAAAAATAAAAAAAAAATAGCTTACTCCCTTCTGTGTTTCACCCCGCTGTGACTAGGCACAAAATAGGCCTGTATGTTTCAAATATATTATATATACGGTAGTATTATTAACTCCAATATTAAGCCTATGTATAGCCCATATAATGTAGGCTATACAGTATGAGTATACATGTATTGTATATCGATATTAGAATGCTTTTTAGAATTACTTATAATCTATTAGCCTACAATATTTACGAGTCTAATACATTGGACACACAACTGATCTAACACAAGTTACTTTGGTAAACGACATTGACATTTTGCCCACGGTATTCTAAGTAGCATTTTTGTTTCAACTCAGAGAATCCTGAATTAAACGAGTTCGAATCGATAATATACAGCGCAGTCTATTTGTATGCCACTTGCGTTGCTACTCATCTTCCTCTTCCTCGTCGCCCTCGATTTGGTCAGCAGCAGGAGAGCTGTGGCCCGTTGATTTGTTCTCTTTCTTCCATTTCATCCTTCTGTTTTGAAACCAGATTTTAATCTGGCGTTCGGTCAAGCACAGGGCGTGTGCAATCTCTATACGCCGCCGCCGTGAGAGGTAACGGTTGAAGTGGAATTCTTTCTCCAGCTCTAATGTTTGATAGCGGGAATATGTCTGACGGCCTCTTTTCCGGTCCGCACCTGTGGGGAAATGCGGGAGGAGGGTCAGAAAGCGTAACAAGTATTAAAATATGTTTACCAAAAAAAAAAAAAAAAAAAGAAAAATCATTTACAATCAATAAAAAAGTTCGAATGTTTTTCGATGGTTAAAATGAAAACATCTATCTTTGTGAATAATCATTGGTCTGGATGAAAACGGAGGATTTCAAGAACTTATAATTCATTAAAACCATTACATATGATAGGCTATAATTATCGAAAAATCACTCATATTTAAGCAAAAAAAAGTAGGCACTTCCGTTTGTGAATGTAAAACAACTATTTTAGTATTTTCAGTAGGGCTTATACCAATCAAGTCACACTTGGGGGAAATAAGACTTATGCGTGGCTGTTTGATTCTAGGTGTGTTATTATCTTACCATGACAAAGCGACCAGTCATTATACAAACACATTTTATGTTATTGAGATTAGCGATTGTAAATATTTCGATACGACTTATTAGCTTTTATTTATTTATTTATTTACTTTTTGCACAGAGCCTTAGTGAAATCCATTAGTCTATTAAGGAAAGATTAGTTAGCTATTAAATCCTGAGATTTAAAAAGAAAGCGGTCATCAACCCTAAACGTGTCTTCTAAAGTCTTCTAAATTATATTTTGGATGTTTATTCCTTACTTGAGGTCACATAAACTTGTAACAATAGCAAAACGAACCGCACGCAGTGACTTTAACCGTGCGTCTATATTGTTACATTAAGATCAAGATACAACAGTGTCGAATTAAAACTTATGTTTTAAAGGTAAAAATAGCTAAACGAAACGCACACATTGAATTTAACCGTGCGTCAGAACTGTTACATGCATTAAGATCAAGATACAACAGTGCCAATTTAAAACTTAACTTTGAAAGGTAAAAATGCATCTTAAATATAAAAGTGGAATGTAATTCAAAAGCAAAATGAAAGTATACAAATACCCCTACTGTGAGTGTATTCTCTGGCTTGCACACTCCCGTGACTCTAATGGAGCCCTGCCGTTCAGACTTCCTTCTAAACATGACCAAAGTCAACAACATGATCTAGTTCCCTTACACATACGCGCTGAAGTGTTATATCCATCTATATAAAGAAGCCATCTATGTAAAGGATCCATATTTTAGCTGCACGTTTAGAGAGAAGAAATCTCCAGACGTTCACAACCTTGCCCATGCACGGTCAGTGACTTTCTGCTGTCCCTGCGTTTCCGTTTCCAGCAGACTGTCGACAAATGGGTACTGCTTTGTGCTTTTTGAACTTTTTTATTGCACTCTTCAGTCGTTTGTATCTTACTTCCGTGTTGTCGGCAACGCCGTGACACTTCTTGTTGATAATAGCCCACTATCTTGCACAAACTGTGCAAAAACATGAAGAAACTGGGTGAAAAGCAGAAGGCATGAGAGTAATAGAGAGAGAGAGAAGTGCCGTATTCAAATCCAAGGAGATACCGCTATTTCGTTCTTTCAGGGGTATACATTAAGTGCATTATGTCTGTCCTCGCAGAACGAAACGCTTTTACACGAGTTAAAACAAGGACGAGCATTGTGTTCGGTCACTGTTCAAGGTCCCTGACGTACACAGTCTCCCCAATGATGGACATGGAAATAGAATTTCATCTGGTCTCTGTGAATGTGTCCGTCTGTGAATAGTGAAAGGGAAATAAAGTGAGGGACAGAGACCATCTATATGAAATTTCAAACGAAAGCACAAAATCCACTGAAAAGGCAGCTTAAAGACAAAAACTTGTGGTTGGGGGTGCAAGGCCTATGTTAAAATGTGTAGAAACAAAATTACAACCTTTTTTGAGGTGTTTATGTACGCGTGAATGTTTATTAGGGCCTGGTTTATTTTCATGCAACTGTCTACACCAGCTTTGGCGTATCAAATATGTAGTCTTTACAGCAGATATGGCAGTGATTTATTTTTGTGTTAAAAAAGATAATGATCTTTTTTAACACAAAAATAAACGGATGAATACAATTTGTAAGCAGCTTCCCCCTTTTTAAAAAAAAGAGGCTTATTCGTGTTTAACATCAACATTTACAAAAAAAATAGCTGCCTTTATTAATAAAATTAAAATAATTACAAATAATTGAAAGAGCTTAAAATGTCTCACTGTACTTACAAGGTAATAGGTTAGTGTTGGTTGTTCATAAAATGGCAATAGCATTTCACACGTAGAACGAAAATGTAGGCTACACCATCGGCAGGCAATGACAATCTGCCAGTATATGTCAACAAATTTGCTACTGAAGTATCTGTTTCAAAACTATTTATGTAGTTGTATTTTTACACATGCTAACAAGAGAAGAAGCTCCCTGGGTTGACAGTTGACTGATAGGAACGTCGGTGAGTGTCTTGAGAGGCCGCAGAAAATCATTAAAAGAGAACTTGTCGACCTTCTTTTCAAATGCGTCAGCCGGGACGTGTGGTGGCTACACGCGTGAAAAGTGTTATTACTACGAAACGAAGACAACTTGTTAAAACCCCTTGTTCAGCGAACAGTCGGTTAACATGGACGCATATCTTGAGTTGTATGTTTTGTAAAACTTCCAACACAGGCCTACGCACACGCACGCAGACAGGCACATACATGTACAACATACTGCAACATAACTTTATGCAACATAAAGCACACCCAGACACAGATACAGTTCAATTACTGAGAGTATTTTAAAACAAAGGCCCACCCAGCATATACCCTAGAAAAACAAGGCCCCGCCCTCTATATAAAAATATAAGGATATTTAATGCAATTGCTTGAGCACATTCTAACTTAACGATGGATTCATCTCCCTAACTAACTTAAAGATGGATTCCAGCAGAATACATATTTGTTGAAGCTAAACATGATTCATAAACCTCTCATACTGTCCCCTCCCTTTTTCCACAAAACGCGAAATACTACTAGGATGTCTTGAATTATGGCGACTAATTAGTCGTAAAAAATGATCTGAAGAAAAGAACACTTTTTGAAACGACTTGGTCGCTCCCCTTAACCTGTTTCCCTCCCCCTCAGACATACACACACCCCTGTCTTTCAGTTTTCACAAACCTGTGCTCCTCATCCACGGATAGATTCGGAGGTTGTTTTCGTTGTTTTGATGATGGCCCCTCTGCTCTTCCTTACCACTGCTTTGCGCTTTACAGAGATCGCCAGCGCTCACCATGGGTAGATTCGGATGGTCAAACAGAGAGCTGTGCATGTTCAAAGAGACAGCTCCCAGCTCATACGCAGTGGGGTACATGCCTTGAGTCTGGCTGGAAAGACTAGCACCGTTAGTGTACATACTCGGCAGAGAGACAGAAGATGCGGACGAGACCGGTGCACCGCTAGAAGCCGAGCCGTAGCCGCTGGCCCGTTGCGAACTGCACGAAAAGGCGCAAGAAGTTTGCTCGGGAAACACGCCACTAGAGAAGACTGAACTCGCCACTTGGTATTTGGAAAACAATGCGTTCGCGTAATACAATGAACTCATAATTTAAGAAGTGATTTATATGCCAAGAAGTTTTAGTGTCGGTTTTACGAGGTCCAATGATATATTACAGAATTACAGTCTAGATTTACACCAAAAATCACTCCTTTTTCCTCAGGGGCCACGTGATGGGTAGCACGTGATGAAATATCCTCCAATGGGTGTACAGCTTCCCAGAGCCCTGTCTAATGTGGAGAAGGGCTGCACAGCTGACCATCCACATAAATTTGTTAAATTATTCACTTACAGCCAACGGTACCTACAGTCAACACAAACGCACGGGAAAACACACAAATCGATAGGCTATTGAGAAGGATTCTGTAATCACCAAATCCGTGCCAAGCAATAAGTAATTGTGGGTTGTGCAAACTTATAAATGAGTTCAGGTTGTCCAGATTTAGAATCATGCCTCCTGTTTGGAAGGGCACCACACAAATAACAAGAAACCTATTTATTTCTGTATTGATTTTCAACACTATTTCCTCTTGTCACTGGTGCAGTGCCCCAATCTCATCAATGCATTTTTGCAATGTCTGTACAGTGTCTGTGTCAAGAGTAGGCTATGATGACTCTGGCCCTTACTAGTTTCTGCTTCGAAGCATCCCAATAGCCTTTGCAGTCACCACCAACTACAGCCATTTCCATGGTGACGTACTGGTTCAGTGCATCCCAAATATTTTATTGCTAATGCATGTTCATGCGAAAGCTCTGAGTCTTGTCATGAAACCTACACTCTGGATGTTTGAGAAGCCCACATACTCACAACAGTAATTCACCTGACATGATGTGCTCCCATAACTCAAATACCCACATTTAACAGAGTTTTTTAAGTGTATATTCACGATAATAGTCTGTTTCTGTTTAGTGGCATATTATATCGTGTCGTGTTACGGTGTTGGTCTGACAAAATTATGAGGTTTTTCAGTTGTGGTTTGCATGCCGCCTCTCTTTTAGTTAAATTATCTATTACTATAAATCAAGAATGAGACCACACTGCAAGGTATTTTTTTATGAGATTTGTCATCATTAACAATGTGTAGTCCATGTTTATTGTGCTTATAATAATATTCTTATTCCTAGAGGTGTTTTTGACTGAAGCAGACCTTGGAACCGCACATTACTGTGAAATGATGTTGAGGACACATGGTGTCACGGATTCTCGCTTGTAAACTTTATTGTGTCCACTTTCTTCCACTGCCTCCAGTTTTAGACATTAAAATACAATTAAGAATGACAACAAAACATATAGTCATCTCATAAACTACTTCACCAGCAAACAATGATTGTAAACAATGGGTCACATGACATCATTTTAAAATTTATTTTTTATTATGTTTATTCATTTTTATTATCCACTGTGCGCATGCTTACCCCAAGAAAGGAAGACAACAAAAAAAAAACATTGATTTAAGAAGAACCAAAGAAGTGTAAAAAGAGATTCTACGGCATAAATAGGCAGTTTCATGTTGTTGGAAGTCATTAATTCTACATCATCATCATCATAACATATAAGTGAGAACAGTTAAAAGTGCACCATTTAACTTAAAACTATACAGCTGCCAAGGTAATTGTTAATGACAATATCCTAACAATAGAAACATAAGTTTCACGATAATTATTTCACAAAGAAAGGAGACTAGCTTTAACACTACTCTGAACAACAGGTAAAAAGTAGAAATGCTCCATGTCCTTCGTCTTCCTGAAGTTCTGTGGTCACCATATTAAGTGTAGTAATTTGTCCCAGTCCCATCTGTTCTAGTCCCAGTCATTTTTTTCTGTTCCTTCCTCGAGTGAAAGATGTAACAACTCGGCTTGATTAAAATGTCTCTGTGAGACAAACCTCCCATGCAAACACCGTTATTCTATTCATCATTGTCTGTGTTTTATTTTCCGTATTTATTATTTGCCGTTTAGATGGACTGGCACACGTACACACAAACACACACTCTCTCTCTCTGTCCATCCATCTCTCTCCCTCTCGGCCTCTCACTCATACACACACACACACTCACACACACTCACGCATCCGCTCTACATTTGTTTTTCCTTGTCGCAGTCTTCGCCGGCAGACTGTGTCCCGGATGCCTGTTCTTTCTCCCGTTTCTCTTTTTCGATCTGCTCTTGTTCAGACTTGCTGCTTGGAAACTTGTCCTTGTTGTTTTCCTTTTTCCATTTCATGCGACGGTTTTGAAACCAGATTTTGACTTGTCGTTCTGTCAGTCCCAAAGCGTGTGATACCTCAATTCGTCTCTTGCGCGTTAGGTAGGGATTGAAGAGGAACTCTTTCTCGAGTTCGAGCGTCTGATAGCGGCTGTAGGTCTGGCGACCTCGCCTCCGTCCGGCAGCTACTGGCAATAAAGACGTTTTTAGATGTTAGTCAGAGTTAAAAAAAAAAAAGAAAGAAAGAAAAAAAAACACCAACAAAAACCACCACAAACAAATTTGTGAACCAACAATCGCAGCTTTCACGCAAAATGAACATCTACTCCAGTACATAATCGCGTTACATTATTAGTTTATGGGTAGGTTTTTAGTGTAACATGGAGACTCCCACAGTCTAACACAGTAATTAATGTAAAAAGCTCCACCAATAAAAATATAAGTATCCTACCACAACACTTACACACAATAATGGTGAAACACTAACTCCGCAGTATAGAGTCGTCAAAAGCAGTCTACTATTTCACATGTTCAAAGGATTAGGAACAGCCATAAATGACATAATCATTGTGAAACGACCACTGTGTAGTGAAATAAACTCGAGGCTCACTGTAAGTCGTTAAAGGCTGCAGTAAAACTTTGACCTGGGTGAGAAGTGAGAGATCAGCTGTGGGGCAAAGTCTCACACATGGAAACAGCAAGAAGAGAAGGGGCTTTTCTCTCGCCCTCTTCTTCCTCTCTCCCACATTCCTGCCTTTCTATGACGGGGTCATTAAACTGTAAAGTGATTCACAAGTTTTGAACACCATAAAACAATAAAACCAGCTATTGTCCCCCCTCTTCTCGTGCACACAGGAAATGCAATTCTAAACTTAAACTGCGCTGATTTTTTTTTTCTTTCTTTCTTTTTTGTGTGAGGCAAACTCGGGTTTTTTGTGACTTCCACACACACACACAAAACGAGCTGACCGGCAGAGGCTCACCTTGAGGTCGCATCCACGGGAACAGCTGTGTGGGCGACGGACTCTGTTCTGCGTTGTCCGTCTCGTCGCCGATGCCACCCGTGGAGAGTTTGCAGTCGCTATACTGAACCAAGTCGGCGTCTTGAGCACTGAAAAGTGTTTGCCTCTGGAGAGCATCATAACCGTAGAAGTTTCCCGGCTCGCCGTGACAAGTTACCGCACAGGGACTTTGTTGGTACGGCGCTGCGGAGAGCGTGGACGCGCCGTGGTGGTAAAACTCCTGAATCTGGGGGGCATGCTGGAAAGTGGCCCCGGTGCCTGGACCGTACACGACGGTGGGTCTCGTCCCAAGGTCTTGAGCAAATCCGCACTCGTAATAGTTCGGTCGTAAAGTGTCTCCACTTTTGTATTTAGTGAAGAGAGAGTTGACGAAATATGAGCTCATCTTTTGATGTTGTTGTTGGTGCTGATTTTGTTCAAGAGTTTGCTTTTGTATGTCTTTATATCAGCGCTGTAGCTTCAGAGAGTTGTCAGTTTCACAGTTACTGAGGTAACAAACAATGCAGCAGCAAAGCGTTGAGTTCCAATATCTGAACGGTTTGCGTTCGTATACCTTTGTTAAAACAACTTATCTAAAGCTTCCATAAGCATGTTCCCACTGTAGAGTTCCAGCATCACAATCCTGGTGAATTCCGCTGCCAGTTCCCAACCGATTTTCTATGATTTACTCGGCTGCAAACGAGTAGTTTCATATTTTGCGGTGTGTTTTCAGGATCATTTGCATCTTCTATAGGATCCTCGTTCCATTGGCTTCTCGCCTCCCCACACGGACACCGCTCTGTGCGATTCTGATATGAAGGGAGCGGGAGAATGAAAAAGAGAGAAAAAGAGAAAGCGAGTGAGAGAGAGCTGAGAGGGATAGAGCGCGAGGTAGCAGGAGAGAGAAGGGGGGCCAAGGGAGAGAGAGGAGGGGAGAATATGCACATTAATATGTTCAAGCGGGCAAGTTAATGAGAAATCTGCCTCTTTGCATCAGATCAAGTGCATACACTCTGCCCCTCCCCCACGCAACTTCTCCACTCCAAACCCCTTTGAAAGATTGATTTTTTACATGTTCATCACAGACAACCTAAAGTGATGCATATTTAGTCGTTAATTTTCAACTCTCTAACGAGGTCGAGTCTCTTTTTTAAAATGTCAGGGTCGAGAAGGCCAATTTTAAAAGGTACACCATTTAATTAGTATCAGTTTAAACATATCCTAAAAACCTTATAAGCACGCGCAATTTTGCAAAAGCATCCTCTGCAGCGACTGAAGCGCACGAAGCGAAAATAAGCGAGATGGTCATATTTAACATTTTGATCATTTAATTTCCATAAATATATTTACAGAGGTATAAGTATGTCGAAATGGAACTGCACGTCAGGTGTAATGGTGGTGTAAATGGTTTAACAAACTATGAAATCCAATAAACGCCCCTACTGTTTGTTGTTGACGTAGTGCATCAAAAAGCTGTTAGGTTTTTATGAGGCTCCGCGACCAGTGCTGTAAATGCTTCACTTCGAATTTTATCCAGAAATAGAAAGTCCCTCAATTGTCATTTTCGTTTTGTTTTTTGTTTGCCATTATGTTTAGAACAAGTAAATCTGATTAACATTATCTATAAAATCCAGAAAAAATCTAAAAAAAGAGGTGAAAAGTAGCGTGCTTTTATTAATTTTCTAATAAAAGCAAATAGCTTCATAAATAAAAAAAAAACAAAATATATATTCTTCGTGTGCGTGTGTGTAACAGTTTCAAATGTTTCTGGATTCGTTGTAATTTGGGGGGGGGGGTATAGAATTTGAATTATAGAATAATTATTCATAGAATTGTATATTTATTCATTTTCTAAAAAAATATTTGCAATTAATTAAAAAGTATCACTACTGAATAATCATGGTCACATCTAACGCACAAAAAGTTCTCTACTCTTGATATCTATATGACACTAACTAATGCAGCTGCTTCTTGTCATTTTACAACTTCATTTGCGTCTATAATAAATTACAGTCGAGGATTTATAAGTAGTTTTGTTAAATGTGATGGATTCTATTTCTAGCGGATTATTTAGGCTACATTTCGACACATGGGTTACATACAACGCTAATGTGTCTATATCACGGGTTAATCTTAAGCACATGTTGTTTTTACACTTATTAAACGTTTCTTCTCTTAAAAAAAGACAAAGAGTTGACCAAGTGTGAACCTCACCTTTTGACTAGCAAAACCCGAGTCGGCTTTAAAACCTCTATACAATTTCGCATGCTGAGTGTTGATGTAAAAGTCACAATATACATCAACCATTGAGAGACCTTCTGTTGTTAACAATAAGTATGAAATGAATGGTGTTATTTATTGAACATAACACTATCGTATGTTGTTGTATTGTTGTTTAATGTAATAGTGTTTTACTGTCAATAAACGATTTTCTAACCCAAATTTTGTGAGGTGATATCTTATTTAAATTATATAAATCACATATTATTTTCAACAATTACCGAAACATCACATCTATCAATTTTTGCGGTAATAAAAATGGAGCAGATCAATAAAGTGATTTAATTAATCTTAACATTGCTCCAATAATTCTCAACAAGCTGCAGCTGAAAACGTTTAACAACTATTTTGTTCTGGTTTTACAGAATAAAAAAGTAGCCAAATCTTGATTATTGTAACTAAGTTTGTGTATCCTAAAATTTAAAGATATAGCCTACTACATTTGTTAGTAGTAGCCTACACAAAAAGTACACACATGAAAAGAGAGTCTACTTGTTTCTCTGAACCTTTATCAAATAGATTAACGAATCCTCTGAAATTCTTTTCTTTCAAAAGCTCCGCTGTAACAGAGGGAAATTGTGTGAACCTTAGTCAAGTGTAATACCGCACATGTCTGCAAATGTTTTGGCCCCAGTGTTTCCGGTTTGGGGGTGGAGGTGGCCAGCCAGTGTCTTTTCGATGGAACAACATTGCCATCAAGTGGCAATTGTGTGTTACTCCATGATCAAACTCAGCTGTAATGAGACGGAAGTTCAAAAGCTAATGGTTCTATAAACAACGGACATAAAAACAGAATGAGCGAATTAACAGCTCAGTAAGTGCAAATTCAATGATGTAAAGTACTTATTTTAATTCTCTATAACAAGGAATCCATTTAAAAACCGACCCCTAGGATCTAGTCTTTTGTGGTTTTTCAACATATCTAGAAAAGTAATTTACATTGGGTTGAAACACTAATACTAATGTTAAACCATTGAAGCAAGTATCGCTTCTTTCTTACCAATATTTCACTAATATCTTTAACTATTTGATTTAGAATTTAGAATGAGGCTCAAATGTAGCATTTCGTCGGTGTATGATATTTGAGACTTTTTCTCTTTTTTCTTTTTTCTTTGGATTGCACTTATCTTTTTCGTATTAATAGTTACACCATCAATCATACTCCTGCTGCTACTTTTATCACTAGCCTACTTCTACTACAACTACTAATAGTAATAATAATAATAATAATAATATAACAATTGTTATAATAATATGTCGATGCTGCATTTTAGTTTTAATTACATACACATTGTTAGAAATACAAATAATTTAATATTCAGGCCACGATGAAACATTTCCATGCATAAATCCTTACTTTTCTTATTTGGGCTGGGCACTTGTGCACTGTACCAGCATGATCACGTTTACTTCCCTTTTTTTTAGTTGTCAATACTGCTTCCGATCACAGAGATTAATTGTAGATATTAATTTTAAATTTTAAACTTTTAAAAGGAAGAAAAAAAATAGATTTTTCGAAAGCTTTATTGCATGGTTATTTACATCATTGACAACGCACCCTATACAAGAGAACTACACATCATTACCTTTTCCATAATTCTTCACATTTTATTTATGCAATTCAGCAACTAGGTCGGTAATAAACGCAATAACCTTTATAGCCTTCATAGAGAATGTAATGTAAAGGACGGTTCTGTGTTGGAGAAATTTAAATATTTGTTCTATAGCAACCGGCCTTTGTTACCAAGGCACAATCGGATGTGTGCCCACAAAATGGCGAAGTCGAGCTCGATCCCAAAGGTTGTAAACAAATTAACGTTGGTCATCCCAGACGTCTCGCCAGAAATCCTTTTTGTGGCCGTTTATGGCCCGCTATAAGGGCTGCAGTGAGTTCGGAAATAGAACAAAGGGTGGGCGTCGATTGAATTGGACTCAGAGCTCTTATGTGGAAGTCCAGATCTCACCCATCCCGACCCCCTACTCTGTAAGGAATCTGGACGGCTGAAGAACAAACGCTGTTCACAATAAACGACAAATGCGAGAAAAGAGAAGAACAAAATACTCCCCCAATGGAGACACGGTGTTTACGCAAAGAATTTTGCCTTACAATTATTAGAAGCTTGAGACGTTTTTCACATTTTCTATGTTTTTTTTTTCTCGCGTAGTGTTTGCTTTACAGCCATTTAGTTCTTAACCTTCAGAAATTTATACCCTATAAAGTTTTATTACTGTCATATTATTTTATTGCGGCACACCACATTGAATTTCTTTCTCTTTTTTTATGACAGTCGACTTCCCATTTCCTCCGAACATCGAGCGCACATCCTTTCTGCAGTTTGTTTCCTTTCAAAACACCCAAATAAATGGCGCTAATGGTGTGGCAGGACTCAAAATAACTCCTCACCCTCGTAATCATCAGGACAGACTTATGTTGAATTAATATGTGACGAATAAGCATTGTGAAAACATCTGTGAGCCAGGACAACTGGCAATGTCTTCAAAAATATTTAATGGTTACAATCTGTTGAATGCCGTCTCCTTTCCTCTTCCAAGTTGCAATTGCGTCAGTTTGATTATAGGTAGACTAAGCTCTCGAAATCTTTTGTAAAATCAGTTTATTTTTTATTTCAACACAAATGCTCCAAAAGTAGGCTGTCAAATAAGACCACTGCAGTGTTTCTCTTTTGTTGCTAACAGTGGGTCTCGGGTCTTACGTTATTGAGAGTAGAACTTTAACCCATCAGGCTGCAAAATATAGCCTAGACCTAGCCTACCTTATCCCTTTTAGTTTGCATACTTTAGTATAGGCTACGTCGCAAAATAACCTTCTTTGTTCTTGATGCATATCTTGCATCTGGAGGATGCGGTAGCCAAATATAACACGACTTATATCACAAGGGAATCAAATGATACGTTAAGAAAAGAGCCAAAGCAAAGATGAGTCATAGTTCTTCTCAGTCATTCTTCTTTCCACATATGAGCTGCACGTTTCTTCATTTTGTATCAAGATGAATGCTCGAGCTCAGATAGCATATTTACAACATATGACTCGCATTATAAAATGCAGTAAACATTAAAACGGAGCACTACAGCATGTCGCTAAGCACAAAAGGACGAGATAGAGTTTGGGCTGGTTTACAATCAAAAGCATTGGAAATGATACAAAATAGGGTACCATTTGTCACATGCTTTTATAAAAAAGCAAATAATACTTTAATTTAGTCAAAATGTATGTACAATAGGCCTATGTGTCTGAGTAGTATCGATTCGAGGCTTCGAGAGAGTTTTGCAATGATGCAGAAGACAGAATGTGCACTCATTTAGAAAATAAAACGTTAAATTATTAATCATATTGTATTTGGGTATCTTTAATCAAAGTGTTTGTTGTGTTCATAGAAATGACAATACCTGTGTGTGGTCTATATGTAAACTTTTAATGAGTCCAGCATCAACAGTGCAATAGCACAGATTAACAACAAAACAAGAACACAAAAAGAGACAGAGCAGTCCTGAACAAAACACATTTTAGACGTTGTGTTGCGAGTAAAAGAAGGTCTTGCATGTTCTTCAAAATAGCGATGTCTTTTAATAAATGCTCAGAAGCCAGAAAACAAGCGTTAACAAATAGCACAAAAAGCTTGTGTGTGTTCCTGACTAGACGTGCGTCAAAGAAAATTGGTAAGAGTATAAAGTTAATGGCCACTAACAATTTAAGGAGTTTACTGTGTTGGTTTTTGACAGTTGAAGATAGACTCGCTCGATTTCAGTAAAGTCAAATCACACAAAAACATAAAACATTTCTCTAAAGCAATAAAGCAATAGGAAGGGACGACCAAATACAGATCAAAGCATCACTGACAATATACAACGAACATGATTCTGGACATACAAGGAACGTGTAAACAAAATAAAAAAAAAATAAAAGGTTACGTGTATCAGCTCATTCAAGTATGAATTTTACAACATATAAAACATTCCATTGAAAAGAAAAAAAACGATTAACCTATTTACAATAAATTAAAATTACAATCCTACAGACTGCACATAAAATAACTTCGAATTAATACTAGCGTTTCCAATAACACGTACATAAGAAAACTACACAATACGAGGCATGCGAAAATTTATGTAAACAACTGCGACCGAATCTGTATCAAAGGTTATTACACATTTAAGTACGAATTAATTCTATGGTTACTGGCACGCTACAAATACATAGGCTACAGTCGGAACCTGCACTCTTATTCTCAAAAGGAATATTTAGAGATATTTGAAAATGATAATATAAAACAACTCAATTCATTTGTGTTTAATTACTTAAGTTTGATTCTTAATTTCAACCCCAACTGATTCAAGAACGACGCCAAAGATCTGAGGGCAAATTTGGAAATTATTATTATCCTTAAATTCTAATCAACCAACAGATTTTATTATTTGCATCTACCATAGATCTTTGCACACACGTAAATGTCAAGAGGAAAGTATTTAGTAAACTTCAAAGGTTTTTAAAACCCTGTTAGCATTTGTACGCTTTAATAACTGCTTCGCGATATAGACGAAACGAGCAAACGGCTGTTTTATTCTCCTCTTATAATAATAATAACAATAATAATGTAAAAGAGAGCTCACGTCGATTAACAAACAAGTGAACATGCTTTACAGATGAGCAGAACTTCCCTTGTATATTGAATGAGGCTTATGTTTTTAAAATAGATCAGCGCACGTCCATGGCAAAAGGAATGATGAAAAATGCAGAATTATAGAGAACAACTTTATAAAAGCACAATTTTCAGCTGTTCTTAACTTGTTGAAACCAGTTCCTTATCACCTGTTTATTTCATGACGAAGTGTTCGTTTCTTTCACACACGAGTCATAAAATGCAATAAAAGTAGGGAGAGATGGCACGACGTTTTCCCCCTCCTCTGCATCGTTTCACCTCTTCCTTATACTCTAGCTTAACACTGTCCAGTCATACGGAAAATGGTGTGTGCAGTGCGTTTTCATTTTGATGCAGTAAAACACTCTTGCATCAGCTACCAGATTTAAAAGACTCTTTGTAGAAGACTTGAACGCCTGGCACCAATATGTGCTATCATTCTTTGGGCTGGTCCTTGTTCATTTTCTTCATTTTCATCCTTCTGTTTTGGAACCATATTTTTACTTGTCGCTCTGTCAAGTTCAGCAGGCGAGCTACCTCGTGCCTCCGGTCTCGCGTGAGGTACATATTGAACAGAAATTCCTTCTCTAGCTCCAAGGTCTGATATTTCGTGTATGGACATCGTTTCTTCCGGGATGATCGGGCGTGTAACCAGTTGGCAGATGGGTCGTCTGCAAATGACAGTCAAAAACAAGAAGCATAGCTCATTATGTTAGTACAGATTCCAATTTGAAACATGAAACATTTCACAATGCACAAACTTCCAGCCTTCGCGTAGACGATCAATATTACTAAAATAAAGTGCTCTCGGCCCCATCCCAAAAAATGCATGAAAAACACTTTGATTTATGAAAATAATGAGGAAAGCAAAGTTTCAAATAATTAACTTGAGATTTTCATAAAATTACTCTAGCCAGCACCATGAGCAACTACGTTGTACAAAATATTTTGTATAACTTTGCCATAAGTTCACCTGTGAAAGTCTATATCATGCATCTCCCACAACGGAGAATGTCAAAGCGTGACCATGAGTGAATTTGATAAGCAACGTTTTCTTTAAAAAAAATAAATAATATATATATTTATATATATATATATATATATATATATATATATATATATATATATATATATATATATATATATATATATATATAAGAAAATGACTCAAAATAATGAATTTTGAACTATATTTTAAGTGGAATGCACAGTAAAATGAGGCCACATGTGACATTAGATTATCTCCTTTTTAGGGAGAAATGTGGGATGAATTATGGAGGAAGAGTATCTCTAACGAGGCGTCTTTTCCCTCAGTGGTTTGCTCGGGAATGCAGATGGGAGGCTAACAAAAATTCCGTTGTGCTGGCTTTTGTCAACATGGACACTTAGAAGCTGAATGTTACAGTGACTCGAGATTCGCTATAATGACAAAAATTAATGTGTCAACTTGTGCATGTCTTCAGTACCTGTGGGCTCAGTGACGCCAAAGGAATATTTTCTGAAGCACATGAAAGCACCAATGACGTTGAATGAAAAACCTTCAACTATGGCACATAACTCAATTTTCAAGGCCTCAAACCGTTTTTGAAGGCGAATGCTAGCAGGCTAGAAAAAGCCAAGCATCCCCTTTAAGGACTTGTGGATGTTTCCCATCTTATGCTCGGTAACTCCATCGCTTCTGCCCCAAAGACATACACGTCACATGTAGGCTACATCAACTTTCTAGGATATCCTAAATCTTATGACACAATTGTATTTTTATAATGATGGAATGACATACACGTTTATAAAACGATTAATGTGTGTGTCATGTCAACTACAGGCCGTGCGGACAGATCTGTGACTTGCGACTTACGAGACAGGTCCGAGACAGGATCCCTAACAATGAAACACTAAAGGGTTAGGCTATAGGCTATGATGTGAAGTGACGTGTGTTTCCACTACGAAAAATGAACCAAATTGAACCAGTTACACAAACTTTCGAGATTAATTTAATGCCTCATAGGCAATTTGATCAAAAACGTTTTCAAAGACAATCGACCTCTGGCCTTAGGGCCCCTTTTAATGAATTTGCCCATTTTGGATTGAAACGTATTAAGAATTTAACGCAACATTTCCCAAAGAGCTCAGTACGATTGATGGGGATGTTGGCTCCTCTGATAACTTAATAAACTTCAGGGCTATAACTTTTCTTTCTCACAGGCAGACATGAGCACAAGCGAGAAATGTGACTCCCAACATCATTGCCTTTGCCTACAGTTTATTCTGGAATGCCGCCCGGGGTACATTGGGGATTTCAATTGCGTACAATTCCATTAGTTCACATGCAGCCTATTTCATGGATTAAAATCAATAGCTTTTTCTAATTAATCCCGACAGAAAACGATCGTTTAACAAATCTCTAAGATTTTAGCTGCATTTTTAAACTTGCTGGAATCCTTCAGCAATAAACATGCCTAGTCATGAGCGAGAATTATGCTTTAGATTATTGTCTGCACCGGCTCAACCCCACTCTTGAGGGAGCTCAAGAACAGGCAAACAGGTCTGGGAGAAACATACAACCACCCAGCAGCCAGATAATTATTTTTTTTTAAAAAACAGTATTCGTGCATAGGTCAAATTTATTTTGTGGTGTTTTAAACTATACTTGGTCTTCAGAGATTATATACAGCCAATAGTCAATATCCGCATAAATATATTTAGATCGATTAATTATTTAACGATTCAGATGAAAAGAATAAACGTTAAAATAGCCCATTCTTGCCAGCCAAGAGCTACTAAACATAAAACAAACATTTGCACTATATAGTAGTTTATAACCAAGAGACACTTTGGCGAGTCACTGCACAAAAAAAAAGCTATTTACAGCCCAACCTAAAACTGCTTGGTGCACTAAAGTGCACTGACGCGCAAATAAGCGACTCTAACAGAGACAGAAGGAGAAGGAATACAAGTTACTTAAGAATGAATTAAACGCAAATACTATGATTAAGAAATATGAAAGGTGATTTTATAGTTGTGTGAAATCTCTGCATGACTACAAATGGGCAAAAATCTAAACAGTCGTCAGCGATGCCATACATATAGAGCGTGGCAAAATCAGAGCCATGCTATACAAATTTGGGAAAACAGATTCGATTTTAAAAACAGTCCCTATATGCTAGCGAAAACGTGAAAATCCCACATGACGATATTTGGCTGTGTGAGGTGTCTGTTGCTCTTCGTTGCTTTGTTCTTGTTTTATGACAGCATTAAACGCTTTACAGAGTGTTCACTTCCTAGGTTTATAACTTACTCTGATCCGGTCCCTCTTTGTCCTCGCTGCCTTCGCATATGTCCTTATTGTCTTCAAATCCGGCGCTGTGACCAGAATTCATCTCCCGTGCTGTAGAGGACTCCAAGATAAACTCATGCTGCCCGACGAGTTTTGGTGGTTCCCCGAGATGTCCCAGGAGCGGCTCCATCTTGACCTGTCCTTGCCCGGGTAGCGGCTCTGCTCTCGGTGCACAGTCGAGCCATGTGCGGAGGTATCGAGTATCCGTTGAAGGCACTGGCTGCGTCGGTATGTAGGGATGGTAGACCGCGGGTAAGCCATTGGACGCGTGGGAACTGAATGGACTCCATGACGAACTGAACACTGGAGGCTTAGGCTGGAAGCTACAAGAGGGGAACTCGGGATGCTCGCCGGGTCCCGGTTGTCTAGCGCTGGAGTACTGTACATTGGAGAAGCGGGACGCGTTCGGATCTTCTCCCTCATGACTTATGATAGAATCGACATAGTAGTTGCTTAGAGTTCCAGAAATGGACATTCTCGGACATTATATAACGTACTGTTCATTAAAGGGAAAACATGTACAATATAAATGTGCTTTACTCCCCTCTTTACGGTAGTCCTCTCTACTCGCTCGCCAACAAAGTAGAGCCGGGCTGCTATGGTGTGCGCTCCGAGCGAACTGATTGGTCAGACTTTTTTCGCTAGCCTGATAAAGCGTCAATGGGGTGTAAATCAATCCGCCAAGAGGCTGTACGAAGCTCTCCTCCTCTCGAGCTCTCTATATTTCCCATCTAAATAAATTGTCTTGTTTATGCAATATGCAAAATGGGAGTGTGTCCATATATCTACAGATATCTACAAGCAGTCGAGAAAATGTCAGATTAAATATGAAACGTTTTTGACGTTTGATGTATAAAATGCATACGGGGTGCAATGGCCCACAATAATAAGTTAGATAAAAAAAAATCCAAATTAATTGATGTGGTATTATAAAGTGATCTACATCATTCTATCTGAATGGAAGCTTTATCATATTTACTTAATAAAAAATGTATATGACAACAATTGTTTTATTACGATTTAAACAGGAATTCAAAAAAGATTAAGGCAGTGACGTCTGCTTTATAAAGTTATTTTTTTTCCCTAAAATATTTTATACCCCCCACGTGTTTAAACTTGTAAACCTCCAAGGAGCAAACCTCTTCCTTCTTGGAGTAATAGGAGTACGTTGAGATAATGAACAGCTTTATTGGGAAATTAACAGTCATTTTTTTCTTAACGAGGGTATTAAACACCACCGTGCGACAATCCCCTTGTATTTATGGAAGAAACTACTTGAACTTTTTTGGTCGTTTAATACTATAATAAAATACTACATCAGGCAGCTTTGGTTTTTATAGGCCTGATATACTGCCTGTGGCGAGGACCGTGAACAACTCCGCTGCAGTATTCCACCCAGTCGCTCATTTCACACACTCAAAATAAACAGATTTTTCTTTTCCTATTTGATCACTCTGATCTGCTTTATTCAAATACACACACGTTCATTCTATTCTATCTGACACATTTTGTAGAAGAAATTCTGAAATATGCTTGTAAAAAGGTAAACCGTTTTTGAGAGGATTTCACTGTCTGTTGTGAATATCTTGGGACCATCAAAATAATGCAGTGATTTCAGCACTTATGCATCTTGGTCGTGTCCAATAAACAGTTTTCCCTTTTTAAATGAATGATCCAGTCTATATGCTACTGTTGTGCTTCAGCAAAAGGACCAATAGCACATACAGTTACAGAGCCATTAGACAGTGTTAAGTTAAAAAAAGACAATTAAAGCAACTTACCATCTTACCATCTTATTTCTTTGTTACTAGATAGGCTATACTTAGCTGCGTGCTAATTTTATTAACCACATGCGTAACCATGCGTAAACAAATTGCATAATGAGATACATTTGTGCAATAAGTTGCGCTATAGAATGAATAAAACCACTAATCTGGTAATTACATCAGGAAAGGCTATATACTTAAATCACAACCATAGCCGTTTTAAACCACCCTAGCTAGCATTTAGCAACACCCTATTAAAAAAGGGGAGGGGGACAAAAACTTCAGCGGCGCATTGCCACAGTTATGAATTCAAAAAACCCTGCCTTCTGTTGGAACACAGAGGGAAACACAATCTCAAATTGAATGCTACACTTTAATCCTAAATCCGATTTAGATCGTATTTCATTACATAATTTTGAAACTGAATTTGGAATAATTAAATACTGTGGAACACACAATATCAAGCTATTTAAAGTTTATGAAGTGATACTCTAGCAAAATGTATAATGTCTCAGTGTGTAATGATGTATAATGTCTCAGTATTTATTTTAGTGCTGATTTTAGCTATCTTCAGAGAAAAAAAAAACATTTTTATTGATTTTATTTAATTACTTATATTCCACATACTCCTATAAATAAACTATATATATATATATATATGTGTGTGTGTGTGTGTGTGTGTGTGTGTGTGTGTGTGTGTGTGTGTGTGTGTGTGTGTGTGTGTGTGTGTGTGTGCGTATGTGAATAAAAGCAATTAATAAAACCACTAATATAATGTAAATGTATAGCAACATTAATTGAGAGGCAAAATACTAAGAGCACGAATACGCAAATGTAACTATTAACAAGACTAACATGTAAGGACAAATCTTGTTCAAGTTGTTGTGCATGACTATCTTGTTCAGTCTAGTTATGTTTGATATTTTGTCCTCAGATTTATTCAAGCAGGCCTACTCAACGCTTCATCAAAAATCGATTAATGTATAGGAACCATGCAAAACCATGTTATCTCTGTTGCATAGTTTGCAGCACGTCTCTTCTTTTATTCATTGTGGACCTTAACTGAAGGTCAAACTGCACGTCTCACCGTTAACTGCATGCAGAGCTTTTTGTGTGGGGATTTAATTGTCAGCATTCGTTAAATACATAATATATGCTATAGTTTTCGCTTGTACATCAATGATTTCAGCAATGATAGCTTTTTTTTTACAAATTGTCAGAATATTGTTTCCCGCTGTTTTTTTGTTGTTGTTGTTGTTGTTTTTGTTGTTGTTGTTGTTGTTTTTGTTTTTTTGGCACCACAAGCAGGCACTCTGCAAACGTTAGCTACTACACAAACTGAAATCCTTACCAAATGTAAATGTAAGAGGATTTATATACAATTTCTTAGAAACAATTTCTTGAGTTATTCAAAGGTATTATATAATAAAGCCTATGGCAAACATTCTAGTCATTAATTAGTCAGTAATTGTGTATTTCTTAACACAACTTCCAAAACGACAAAAATTCTGTTCTAAACGTTATTACTAATTTCTAAATATTTAAGTGTTGAGACAAAAAAACATGTTATAGGCTATATATGTGTGTGTGTGTGTGTGTGTGTGTGTGTGTGTGTGTGTGTGTGTGTGTGTGTGTGTGTGTGTGTGTGTGTGTGTGTGTGTGTGTGTGTGTGTGTGTGTGTGTCAAGATTGTATTGTTTCTGCAAAATTAGTGTTCTCTGTATAGGCTATATTAAAATGAACATTTTGAAAATTGTTTGTATTTTTACCGCTCTTTAGAAAATTCAAATACAGACAGTAGGCCTAACATCCAAGCTTTATGTGAAAATACCAACACAGTCAACTAATAAGTAGCCTACAAAAAGTACAAAAAATACTCAAAAAAGTACAAAAAATACTCACCTAAACCTACAAACGTAAATATATAAAACTAAATTTCTACACATATATCTGGAGGTAGTATCGTGTATATAGATCAGGTGTTTGGAAAAATATATTATGTAGCTATGCAATTTGTATGCGTGTAGGCTATTAGGATATATTCAGAATTTCATAGGTGATCACAATTAATTATTAAATGTTCTAAATATTATATTATAGAATAGTCTAACATATAATTTAGCATTGTATTAGAATATCTATAACTTTAAATGTGTTTTAAAATTGTACGGGACTCCACTCGCCGCGCGGAGTAAAAACAGACCATTGTGGAAAAACTTTCGAAGAAATGCTGCTGTGAAATGATTTCCAAACAACTGCTTGTAGCCAAGTCTTCATCATTAAAAATACATATCAGTGATCGTTACAAATTAATATTCTCTAAATGCCATGCTATTTAGTTTGAATCTGTTAAGGAAAAACAAAATACAATGTAGCCTACTGGCTGCAATATTAGCATTAGCATGATTCGTAAGGATCGCTCATTTGCAAATAAGGCTTTTATTAAAGCAGTGAAGGTGACATTGTATCCTCAGTCCATGTCGAACTAACAATGGTGCGTTTAACTGGCGCAATTCAGGCAGTTTCAGGTTCCTGTGAAATTAAACGTACAGCCCAACAACTTGAAACTACCTAAATCACAGACCAGCATGGTCTTCTCCGTGTTCAAAGGCAAGACCCTGAAAGGCGGCCAGCAGTCTAGCGTCCAAAAGTACTGAACCAGGTGAGCGCTCATATTTCAGTGCTATTGCCTATGTCCTTTCCAACAACACCGTTTAACTGAGGAACCGTATTAGAGGGCACTAGATGTAAAATTTCAAGAAATCAACTGAAACATTCTGACCCACTGCAGACAACAGAGAGCCTACTGCAATAACGAGAATTGTTTAAAGACATTGCTTGAAAATAAAGTAATTTAAGTTCACAAGCATATCCGGTTCTCTCCAGACTGTCGGCAATAAAAAGGTCTATTGCCCCCTGTTGTAAAAAGAGGCCCCTGCCTGGCCAATGACGTTGGGGATTGTCCCATCTAAACATGGCGGTTCACCAACGCAAAGACTCGCTAAGACAAAAGAGGAGGAACTGTATTAAGTCAAGCAATATCAGGATATGTTCAAGATTAGCCTTTCTTACGCATTTTAAACTCTCGGACAGCATGGAACAAAGTAAAAATAAAATTATAAATTGCATGTTCAATTAATTGAGACCTACAAAAACATAGCACATCTCATAATACAATACACATTTAATAATAAATATAATTCACAGTGCACATTAACATCCCAAACGTTTCCAGCATATAGGCTCTACCTATCGCTCACATCCATTATGTCCGGTTAAATCTTATGAGCCTAATCACATAAAGCGCTCAGAATATTTTTTTGACCATTCAAATGGAAACCTGAAATATTTAAATCAGTGCAGATGAAAGCAGAACTTAAAATGAATCCAAATGCGTAAACATTAACTTCTGCTTATTTGTTAAAGTTCAAATGCCATTTGAAATTGATCCCATGCAGAGACAATATAATTTATATCTGTGATTCACTTAGGTTATATATTATGGTTAAAAAATAGGTATCCTAGCTTAATAAAATGAAAATATATATAAAAAACCATATACTTTTGGAGCCAGTGTTAGGACAACAACTATTAATCAAATCACATTTTAAAACATTCTGTCCTAATAAAACTCAAATGTCTTGTCTGTTATAATCTATTCATCCGAGATCAAGTAGGCCTAGTCAAAATCGTTTTACATACCTTGATAAAATAATAGCAATCAGCTCTTATTGTTATGGAATTTTATGGACTTTTTTTTTTTTTTAAATGCCTTCATTTGTCAATTGTAAGACTAAAGAAAACGTAATGAAAAGTTGTTCGTCTCTCCAGGCTAGGTTGTCATGAATAAGTTTCTTGAGCTGTATAAAACAATATAGTAAAAAATAGTTGGCCTCTATTCAAAATTCAAAACTTGTATCCTATTTGGCAACCTTTGAAATTGATCACAAATACATCTACTTTTTCCACAACTTACTGTCACACCACTAAATTGAAACTGCCGACGAAATAGGCCTACACATAATTAGAAATTTTGTCATTTTCAAACTGGCCAGGGGCTTATACCAAATAAACGCTGTCATCGTAAGGCAATCTTTTATTTAAAATGCACAGCTTTTTAAAACAGCAATTTTAAGTATCACAGTTTAGGTACATTCATCCATGCTTCAGAAGAAGAAGAGCATTTGTGCCTTTTCATTCGAGCCAGTCTAACGACTAGACAACAAACAACATTAAAAACAAAATAACTGTAGCTACCTGTGCTTGATGTAACAGCTCCTCTGACAACGGAATCCCTTTGAGTTTTGTTTACTCGAGTGTGTCCGCATCTATTCTTAGTTATAGGCTTCTGTCTAAAGAAGAAAACAACCGGTGTAACACTTATAACCTGTAATAAAATAAAATTATAAAACAGCCTATCGAAAATTACAAAACATAAGGTCGTTAAAAAGTAGGCCAGAACTTAAACGACACCAATAAACTTTGACCAGGCCTACGTGAATATGACAAGCCAACACTAGTCTTTCCTTATTTCTTTAGCTACACTTTTTTGTTCTTCATGCGAGGTATTACATTGATCTCCCTTACATTTGCCTTATGGAACACGCATTGTTGTGAAACACCGTAGTAAGTTTTGACTGATCACTTCCTCCCGTTAATCCATCAGAAGTAGCAGTTGCATCATTCCACTTGCAACGAATGATCTGCAATAATTTGTGCGCTCTTTTTAACCGTCTTACATAACATATTAGATAGTGAAACTTGTGTCAGGGTCCCTCGTCCGGTGTTCTCGAGTCATTCTTTTCATTTTCATCCTGCGATTCTGAAACCAGATTTTAACCTGGCGGTCGGTGAGGTTTATGCTCCGGCTAATCTCCAGGCGGCGCTCGCGAGTCAGGTACATATTGAAGAGGAATTCTTTTTCCAGCTCTAAGAGTTGGTATTTGCTGTAAGGACATCGCTTCTTTCTCCCTGCTTTCGCCGACAGCCAGCCATTTGCAGCGTTTTCTAAAGTCACATCTTCAGACAAAAAGAGAAAGAGAGACAAGGCTATTATTCGGTCGCATTTCACACTTAGCAAATAGCCACTGAGCTTGACGCTCGCGGCCATTACCTGGCAGTGTCCGACATTTTATGACAGGAAATAATGTCAGCACAGACTTCGCACTATGTCTGTGTAGCTTAGTGAGGGGGGAGAAAGGGATAAGTAAAACATGAGGAGAAAGATAGAAAGAAGATGCACAAGACTAACAAACATTTTGTGGTTCAGTTTTGTTGCAATTATCTCAGCTAAAGTGACTTAAATCGTATAGGCCTACTATATTTTGCTAAAATAAAATACAATTAAATTAATGAATCCTAAGAAAAAAGTTGTAAAAAAATAAATAAAAAAATGATTGGCCTTCACATTCCAAAGGCGTTAAAAGCAACTACCTTTCACCTTTAACGTTTTCATATTTATAATGTAACTTTCAAATACCTAGTTCTATCTCCAACTGTTTTGATAACCCATGGGTTTTCATAATTAAAAAAGTGATACAAAAAATACTTCACATTTTATTTAAAATAAATTAACTGCATGCATAACAAAATATTCAAGATATATATGGGGAAAATAGCAAAGAACTGTCAAACCAACACCAAACACACACGTTGTGTTTTTTAATGTTTTATGGGGCCTTGCCATAGACATAAGGATTTTTATAATGTACACACTGTATAGTGTCCCTACACTACCCCTAAAGCTACACATCACAGAAAACGCTCAGCATTTATACATTTTCAAAAAACATCACTTAGTATGATTTATAAGCCGTTTTACTAAAACCAAATTATTTTTTATTTTTTTCATGTGTAGGGATTGCCAGGACACACACACACACATATTAGTGTACATGTAGGCCTCTGCCACGTTTTTTTAGCCCCTAAAACGCAGTAATGGCTGTATTGGTCTAAACAGATAATAATAAAATAGCCTATTATCTAAATGTCTGTTCTAAAAGTTTCTCTTTAGACATATTCTCCTTATGCTACACCAATCCCTAATACTATAGGCTAAAACCGACAGTTCTAAGGCCAGAAGTCCCTTATTTCTTTTTTTACATCAATAATAAAACCTGTTTTAAAGCAATAGGCCACACCTGGCCCACACTAGTTTCCATTGACAATGGATCCTTCCGCTGTTTTGATGTTCTGAGAAACGACGTGCAATTTAGTCTGTCTAGGGTAATTCGGTGCAATAAATTCATTTTCGAGCCCTGGTTCTCTTTGTGTCTCAATGGCTACACCCTTCAATTGCTTTCGGAAAGGAAAAAATAAAACCTTGTTTTGGTCTTTAACAGGTTTGCTTTTTCCACCGTTATATCTTTTAACATTGTTTACCCACCTTGAGTCTTCTCTTTGTTAGTTTTATCGCGCTCGGTGAAGTCTGTCTGAAGATTATTTGGCTCTATGTCGTCTCTACTTCTCTGACTGATGCGTAGTGTGGTGATGATGCTCCTGCTGGTTCTGCTTTCAGTCCACTGACTTGGGTATTTAGTGCTTTCCATTGCTAAATAATGCGCAGTATCAGGCTTATTGTCAGTTTCTGACCAGGATGGCGTAGAGAAAGACTGACTGGGTAACTGTTGAGAGTCTGAGTTGGAAGACTGCGTCGGGCTGTCTGGATCCAAGTCGGTATTAAGTGATACGAGTTTGTGTCCGGAGTAAAAACACGGTTCTGGGCGATGGTTGTCCGTACCATTCAGAGAGCCCATATCTGTAACGAATCTGCTGAAGGAGGAGATGTCGAGAGGCTGCCTGGCTTGCCCTGTCGGGTCCAGAGTAAAATAGAAGGGGTCCTCTTTTCGACCTGAAGCGGTGAATGGGCACGCGCTGACATGAGGAACCTGGACGGGACTCAAGTGCTCTCCATCCCAGTTCACAGCTCCATGGAGAAACTGGTGACGCGGCAGAGCCATGGCTTACAGAGCCGGGGATGTCTGACTCTGAATCTGCTTTACTCTCTAGAAGGCGATCAAACACACTGGGGTGGTCCCGCTATTTTGGACTTGGCAGTCCAGGGACGTGAGCCTCTGTCCGCCCCACGCAAAGGATCCTTTATACCTGGGCTATCGAAATATTTCCCTTCAGACAGTGTGACAATCACCGCAGAGAAACTCTTGGAGCATGACATTGCTGGAGCATATTTTGGGCCAAGGCAACAGTGTCCCCTACAATTGGCTTTTCAACCATGGCGCTGTACGTTTCCTTCTGCTGCGCGCTCAATTGGGACTGACTGGGGTTCACGGGCAAGCTCCTCCCCTTGCAGAACTGCTTAATTCAAGTGCTTTATCAAGCTTCCATCCCAAATCATTGCGATTTCACCTTATTCATTTTTTTTAACCAATACTACACCATGGGGAAATTTTGGCAAAAGGACCAGCGAAGACAATCGTAGGCTATTGAAGATAAACATTATAGTCAATGCAAACTAAATAGTACATTTTAGCACTGTCTTTTTAAATTCTAGATGAACGATATGTTTTAAAAAGAATACTGGGTTGAGCACTGGGGTTTGCGTTCGGCATTTGATTTTGTTACTAAATATTTAACCAAATACCGTATGTTCATTTAATTTGCTGACATCAAAAGTAAAATTATTGTCCTAGCCAAGTCTATATTTTTTAGACAATCTGTAGAATGTCTAAAATGAGCAACAAAAGTAGACACAATGTTATTATTATTATTATTCACAGTAATACATAATTATTAGCTGCCGATATTGAATAATGTAATAATAGCATATAACAGTGATGGTGGTGATAATAATAATAATAATAATAAATGTATATTACTATAATAAGAAGAAATAAATGCTGTCAATAATTAATTAATTTGGTTTCTTACATAACTGCAGCTTTATGGTTATTGCATTTATGTGACTATATTTCTTTTGCAAATTAGGCTAATTCAAATTTTCTATAAGACGAACAAAATGGTTTCTACAGGTAGAATAACAGCCTTTGTTGGTAGCGTTTATTTTTAGTCAAATATTTTTCAGTAAAATGGTTGTTGAATCTAAGTTTTGTTTCAGAAAAACAAGATGTGACCAAAATATTATTGCAAACGCTCTAGAAACAAATCCGTAAATGTTACAATTGGTAAAAATAAATAAATATATAAATACACCTTAAATTGTAGCCTAAAATATTACGGATAATATTATTATTAGATATTAATATAATAATAATATTCCGGCCTTAACGCTCTCTTTGCGCACTGAAAGCACGTGAACCTCAAGGCCAAAGCACGTGCTTCCTCAATTTCAAGATTGGATTTTGTGACAAAATTAGTTTGCTTATGACACAAACCACGAGAAATTAGACGGCAAAATAAACATTTCATTATAGTTTCTTGTTGAACGAAACTCGCTTGTGGATCAGGTTCGCGCGCAACGTTCATTTGTTTAAAAATAAAATACAAATAATTAGGCTAATAGCCTATTATCTAAAGCAAACCTACTGATGTCTCGTTTATGTCTTTTTAGTCTAAATGCCAATTATCCAGCAGTCGGTATTGCCAAATTTGTGTAAATCGATTTTGTATTGGGTAATTATTTCTGTGCAAAAAGATAATTCAAGAAATTATTTTGTAAAAAAAGGTTTCATTTGACGACGTATCTGACACACACTCACACACACACACACACATACACACAAAATCTCAAATGTTTAACACCGACACATCCTCATAATTTTTCTTAGCTAAATAGATTTTAAAAAGGTAAAGCTGGACGTGTCATTTACAGAAGAGCAGGCCCACATTCATCATCTGGACATGGTTAATTGTAAAAATATACGATATAAAATTTGTATACAAAACAGTGTAAAAATGTAGCCTACACTTACATTGTTCTCAAGCCGACCATCTTTCACAACTGGACAAAAATAATGGAAAAATGGAATAGGTTTTCACAAATCCAAATCGCTTCTTCGGCGAGAGAAGGCCTTTGGCTTTCCATGTCCTTCTAATGATTGCTTGCAGGTTTGACGTTGACATCACCTGTCTCGAGCAATTGTTTACTTTTTGTCTGGCGTGCTGCACTAAAACTATTCAACATTTTCTAACAGACATGCCTTACGCTTTTTAAGAACATCCCAGAGACCGTGTGCCTTTCTTCATCGACTCCTTTTTACTAACAAATAGCAAGAAAGGAAAAAAGGGAACCTTGTCGAATTTTCCTATATTCTACACATTCCAGTTTTATAATCACAACCAGAATCGCTGGCCCCTTCCAAATGGTGAGAGGATCTTCGGTCAAACTCGTATAACTGTAGCCATGACAACCAAGCCACTCCATTTGCTGTAAAGTTTTACTGCCAAGCCGTCTCTAAATAGCATGTGTCTGTGTGTGTAGGGGAGAGGGGAGTGAGCTAATTCAGTTTTTTCCTCTTAAAGTTCAAGATGTGGTTGAATAATTAACAGATTATTTGGTCGGATCAGCAAATATTGTTTTGAATGGGAAATATCGACTGGACTATATAACAGCATATATATATATATATATATATATATATGCACACATGCTGTGTGCTGACTAGACAGCGACGTGTTGAACTTCGAATCCACGCATCATGTTATCGCATTATAGTGTCATTTTATAAATAACCTGCACCTCAATGCAAGACTGATGGTATTATACGAGGAAGGATTGATTCATGTGAATCAGAAAATAGATAATTTTATAGATAAAAAAAAACATCTATGCAGAGGCTGGAGACAACACGTTGACCATTAATGCTTTGCTGATGCTCAAAAGATGCGTTGGCGAATATCTTGGCGGTGAGACAAACAACTGTGCGAGTCAATGGCAGTTCTGCAAACAATTACAAGTTCAAATGCATTAAGCTATATAGGCTATCTGATCAGATCAGCATGTTTTCATCTATGAATGCCAGATGTACTCCCTTGTTGTCTTCGGTAAAGAAGGATATTTAAAACGTATTCTTGCAAAATCAGATAAAAAGGGAGCTTTGTTTAAGCTTCATGCGAAATTTGCTTGTGACATTGGGTCAATTGTGTAGCCTATATATAGAAGGAAAAAAAATGTTTTTAAACGCTTTGGAATTACTAAATCATGAGGGCAAGAAATCAAGAAAAAAAGGCTAGCATTGAATATTATGGCAATTATTGCAAAAAAAAAAGGAATGTAGCCTTAAAAATTATGGCCTACGTAACAAATAAAACAAATGCATATTAGAGCACGAATTACGAGATTTCTCCATAATGTCTTAGCCTACTATTAAACAGGAAATAATGTAGCCTAATACAATAAAATAGTGAATAGTGTAAAACAATTGTAATGTTACGATATTTGTGAAAATCAAATGTTTAATTCTCGCACTGCGGAATGTTGTTCTCTAAATGTGCTTCTCATAAACCATTCCCTTTTAACTGCTAATCTTTCTGACCTTTGGAATCAGGAAAACAGTTACCTTACACTATTGGTTTATGACATCGTGTATTTCATTTTTTCATCCTACGATTATACACCTCCAAAGCGTAGGCTAATTGTTGGGTTTTGACTTTCTTTCGCCAGCAGGAGGCAGCATGATCACAAAGAAACCTCAAGATGGTGCTTGTGTTGCGTGGTGCAATATGCTTTCCAACCAATGTGAAACAAAGTCAAATTAAAACCAGATACTTGAAGGTAATGTTGACCCAAAACGACTGTAATCTTCCAATAAACAGTTAATCTGAACGTCTGAAGATAGTAATCAAACCCTATTCTGTTTCTTTCTCTACTTTAAGTGCACTGTTGCATAGAATTTTTAAACAATAACATATTCATGCCACTCTGAGTTGCTGCCAAGCTACTGAATGGTGCTAAAAGAGTTGTGGAAAACGAGCATTAAGCCAGTCGAGACCCTCTATTGACACAACTGCGTGCCTCCCTCTCTACTGGATGTGAACATTTATGATTTAGGATGCTGCATTCCATATCCATTTGCCAAAGAGCAACTAAACACTGCTCTATATATTACCACCATCTGTGACCAATGCAGACATTCCCTAACCTCATCACTCATGCTCAGCTCTAAACCAGATAACTGGCCTTTTTAAATTATTTCATTTTAATTCTTTAAAAGGTATCACAGTTTTTTCTGCCTTGTTGTGCAATACGATCCAGTTGAATTTGACTCAGGATAGTTTTCCTATTATCCAGACTAAGTTTCTGTATCAGTGTTAATGATTAATAAGAAACCAGTGCTTAATAAGAAGCCATGAGCTGCACCAAGATTTGTAGCTCTATATGAGGGACTGGATTGCCAAACATAGGCCTAGATTATATTCCATAAACTCCGACACTGCACGCTATCATAGTGGCTAAATGTGCTAAAATGCATGCAAAGCGAATGTTAAAGATTTTAGTCTATGCAAATGTACAATATGATTGTCCAAAAGCTTGGCTACTCAGCACACCGAAAATGTCTTAATGTATGACCAAGTCCAAATATAATGACAGTGTCATTTCATATAATGACCACAAGATAGAGCTATTGCACTAGCCTATAATCTCAGTTAAAATTTCTCTTTACGTTACGCAAGCACAATGGAGACAAAGGGAGAAATTGAACATTTCCTGTCAGCATGTTTCTCAAACTGTATTATAATGTCATCATTTGACTTCATGAACGCGGAGCGGTTGGAGTGAACCCAACTTGTGCTGAGTTAACTAATTTAACAGAAGTCGATGTTATGGTCTGAATCGCATTTTTGTGTTTTTAAATAATTATCGAATATACAGAGATATCAATGATGGAGAAAAAAAGGTCTTAAAAAGCGGAGTTATGAAAAATGAGCTCTTCGGCTGATCTGATCATAGCCTGAATTAATAATTGTAAACTGAGTTTTAAAAAATGCATTTCTAATAAAGCTTTGAATTTAATATTTCATTTATATGCGAACAGACCATCTCTATCAATGGACATGGGTGAAGTTTTTATTATTGTGTATTTCAGTGACGCTTTACAGCCGCCAATAGACAATTAAGTCAAAGAACACACGCCCAATGTCCTGGATGACTATCAGAGCGAGAACAATTCAATAAAGAGGCTTCCCGTAAACCCCACAGTGGGTGTCGTCACCGAGAGACTGAGCGCCTTTTTTCAGAATCGTAAAATTCCAAGTCGTGTTCAAATCAGAGGCTCCACAATGAAATCTGGTGTGACCTTGCTGGACTGTGAAGGGCAAACCTATAGGCCAACATTTATCCATTGCTCTCTCTCTATGCGTTCTCCGACAGAGGTAGCCTATCTTATGCTATTGTTACAAACGTTAGTTTCTAACGTTTCTAAATGTTAGTAAAATGAACTCCACAACACATCACAAAGCAAAGCCATCACAAAACAAAGCAACACTTCACAAAACAAAGTAAAGTTAATTAAATTGGAATGAGACTACCTCAGCAGTAACAATCTATTACCAGCAGATGTCAGCAATGCTCACGCAAATCCATCAACATTGCACATTCCTCAACTTTACTCCTAATTACAAAGTAAGGCACACAGTTTACATACGACTACCCCCCCCCAACACGTATAAATCACGTGTTACAAAGTAGAACTTAAAGTTTAAATTCTGTCGTCATTTACTCATCATCATTTAATTCCAAACTTGTTGCATTGTATGTCTTCTGCTGAACACAAAATGAAGAACATTATACTGTTAGTCCTGTATTATGAGTGCTTATGATGTGATTCACACCAGGATAACACTAAAGCTCACCGTGATTTTGCCAAGGCATGTTCCTGGATCAAAATATTTTGTTAACCCTGGAAATAGGCTACTTTCATCTGAATTGAATCCCTACCCCTAAACCTACCCCATAACGTATCCCTAAAATCAGAGGGAAATGGTGGGTGAAAAACACTGATGGAGAAGCACCGATACCCTTCACACATATTGCTGTTTATTGCATTAAACTAAAAGCAACCAAAGATGCATGTGTTCATCCAACGCAGTCTTACAGTTCGTATTGCGAGGTGGCTAATTTGTACGAATTCGTATGTTTTTCGTTGAACTCTAGACTAGACCCCTTAGTGGTGGGGGTAGGTTTGGGTGGCGGGGTCAGGAATGTTCTTCCTGATGACGATTTTTTTTTTTTTTTTTTTTTTTTTTAAAGCCTACTGATCAAATCTGAAATAGTGGTCAATTCACGCGATCGAGGTCAATTCACCATGGCTTTTTACCTCGACACCTAACTACAGATGGTAGGCTATAGCTACAGTCACATAGGCGCGCGGATGGTCACATCTGGATCGCATCCTTGGAATGCCAACGGGCTTATGCAGCTGCCCATTACAGATCCCTGCACAAACCATCCGGGTGTTCTAACATCTGACGAGCCGGGAGCAGTTATATAAAAATATGTGGATATGTGTGTAGAATTAGCGTGATGAATTTATTGGACATCAGGTCAGCAAGCCTCGCAAAACCATAGCAGAAATCAATTTGGGCCAACACAAATTCATACGGTTATAATACAACAACAACTGAGGGAGTGTTTTAAACCACACAAATCAACAAACGCGTCTAGGAAAAGAAACTTTAGTGTAGCAATGCCCCTAAATCGATTGTGTAGCCTACACCATAATGATTTCAGTGACAGAAATTAATGGAATCAATTAGACCTCATTATCAGAGAACTCTGTTTCTTCCAAAACTCCGATTTATAAGGTCAGCATAATTGTAGTGGCCTGTAAAATTTCACACATGAGTGGCATGATGCATGCCAATACATTTGGTTATTTTACTGCCATTCAGTTATGTAAAAGCCTGTTTAGACGTGTTGGTTTTTCTCTCCACCAAAAAAAGAGCTATGACCAGGCATCATATGTTCAGTAAGATTATCATCACTAATCTAAATTACTTTTTCATAGAATTAAAATGAAGAATGGGCTGCCTAAACAATTGTTTAGGCAGTCATATTATTCACTAAAGACACCGCTATTTTGTGACTATACATTTCTAATGAACGACAAAAAGAAAAAAAGAAAAGAAGGTGTGATAGATTTTTAAACCGTTTGATTTGGAGATGAATAAATAAAACGAGTCATGGGCTGGCCACGACGAGCATTAAGGGCATTGCCAGGACCCACCTTTTCACGCAAACATCACATTCTTGTTCAAATACCAACCCGATCACCTTTCTCATGCGCAAAACCGTTCACAGAACACTCTGATAAGTGATAACCAAAAACTAAAATGTAAATTGATTTATTGTTTGTTTGTAAATTTAATTTGATATATGAGGGATATTGGGTTTTTATTTAGGCGTGATAGCATTTCTCGGAATTTGTATGCTTTAACCTTAATTGGTCTAAGTCATATCCAGCTGCATTGATAATGAATGAATGGAAAAGGAGGCTCGTGAATGGTTCTGTTGACTTCAAGACAGAGGAAATTAAGTAACGTAGGCTATATTAAATGGAAATGTTGGCAACACTAAAGAGTGCTCAATATAGCGACTTTACAAATGCAACAGATTTCTTTTAGTTTTGCCAGATGGATCAATTTATTAAATTGAAAGAAAATCTCTGGGACTTTAATTTGCAATTTTAACTGCTTTCCCATGATGAAAGGCATGATGGAAAAATGGAGAGAAAAAATCAAATAGTAGGCTAAATGGTTCAGCATTTGAAATGGCTCAGGCGTTACAACTTGACATTAAAGCACGTATGTTAAACTGATTTCGTCAACGTAACCCTGCATTTGAAAATCTAACCCTCACTGTTCGCGTCAGAATCATCAGAATAACGACCGGATTCTACTGAATTACAAATACAATTAAGTAAGCTAACTCTAAAATACTAGATAAAAGTGGTAGCCTATCCTTTAAAAAATCGGAATTATAGGCAAAATAGGCTTCTTCTGAGGTTTGCTTGAAAATCGTGCCAAATTTCTGCAAGAATCAAATCGTATAGGCCTACGAATTCACGCGAAATCGCCACCTCGTAAAATAGCCTTCGGGAATTCGTACGAATTTTACGAGGTGGCTAATTCGTAACAATTCATACGACCTCAGTCGTACAAATTAGTACGATTTTTGCTAAATCGTACATATTTTACGAATTGGCCAATTCGTATGAATTCGTACGAATGACCTACCCCTGACCCCGCCCCTAAACATAACCGTCACGTGGGTTTAGACAAATCGTATGAATTCGCACGAGTGAGGTCGTACGAATTAGTACGAATTAGCCACTTTTTAATCACTCGTACGAATTCGTACGAATTGGTCGTGAGATAGGGTAGGCTATAGCCGTTTTCCCGTGAGATCGTGTTGGAAAAGCATCTACGCCAATAAGGTAGAAGAACTCCAAAATTAAATACCAACACGAGATTAATAATAAATAACAAGATTAGCTACTTTAGAAGAATAACACTGAGGTTATTGAGTAGGCTGTCAATAGGTTAGAGAGTGATTTGTTCAGAGTGAATGAATGTGCCTTTCGGTGAATTGATATTTATATCTTTATTCTTATTTCAGTTAAATTTCTATCCGATAAAATACATTTCGCTTAATATTAAATGCTCATTTTTTCACCATTTTCTGTCTATTTTTTACTCTCTCAGACAAAAAAAAAGGTCAGCTCTTTAGACCAGTCTCGCATTAATTAACACGAATAGATGTGTTTATGTTTTTGCCTTAGGGTGTGTTTGCATAATTTAATACATGGAGGCCTACAGATTAAAAGAGAGCATCTATTCTGAAATGAAACTATAAAAATAGCCTATCATCATCATCATCATCATCATGACCAACCATACAGATTGGGTGGCTATTCCTACATGGAAAGTATTGAAACAACCTCTTCAAATGTGTAATGTTCAGTCATCCTGAAAATATAAATTTCATATAAACTTAAGAGAAGACTAGCAGGGCAGAGAAAAGAGAGACGTTTCCTTACAATGTTTACGACCACTCGGAACACCAGTTTTGGAAAACCTGTGGAGTTAAAAAATAATTTTAAAGTAATTAAGTCATTGAGAGAGGCATTGAACTACCGCTAATGCAAGATTAACCAGCGTTTGGCTAAGCGCTGACTAAATCTATCATGACAACACTGGCAATATATCAATCAACTTTGGCCGTGAACATTTCTGCATCTTTGTGGGCCTTTCGTGTGAAGTTGTTTCCTCTCCCCTTTTTCCGGAGGCCTCGCGTTACTCTACATGTCTATTGACAACCTCTGGCCAGACAAGGTCCAGACTACTTATTGTTTACAAGATGTCTCAAGTTCAACTGTGAAGTCCGCCGCTTAACAAAAGCCTGTCCGAAATGCAGACGTGGGGGAAGAGTTGTTTTAGGGCTAGAGAGAGGCGACAGATAACGTGGAGGAGGGGAGCTGGACGTGAACTTGATGGAGATGAGTCTGACATTCCTCATACAAATATGTCGCCTAGCAGCGACTGCAAAATGTCGTCGCTGTCTTGTCACATTTTTTTTTTTTATATATATATATTTGGGGAATTTTTTGAGGAATATTTGGGGACAATGTAGCCTATATGTCACACGTGTTATAACGCATAGCACCTTAAAAACGAAATAAAAAAATAAATCTTCACAGATTAATTTAGATTTAATTGTCCACAAAGGTTTTGTTATTGAGTTTACAGTAGCTATATGTTTTATTACTCATCTCAGACATTAGGCTACTATTTTTGTCCTCATGTCCTCATGTATTGTTTGGAATTTCGATCCACGTCGACCCCACAAATAAATCCTATCTTATTTAGGACGACAAGAAACAAAGAATTTTAGTTCTCAACAAAAGTTGAAGTTTTATTGTTTGTGTTGAAATTGGGCGCGGTCTGCGCTTTGTGCGTTTTCAAAAGAGAAAAAAGAGCCGCCATTAAATCACAAAGTAAACTCAAAAGCAGACGCACCGTTTGTTTGAATGCTTTTGTCAAGTTCAATGTTAACTAGAAGTGGAAGGAAGGACTAAGATATTTATGGCCCCCTGAGCTGTCTGAGTAAGGTACAAGTTACATTCATCAATTTGTGTGAAAAATAATATAATTCCTATAACGTTTTACTTTCTTTGGCAAAATAAATAATAGGCTAATAATAATAATAATAATGTTATATATATATATATGGCACGAATGTCATTTCTCGTGGCATTTATACGCCAAAAACAGTTTTTGCGTGTATATGGCACGCGATTTTCGCTTAGCCTACATATATGATACGCACTTTTTTGCGTATAATACGCACGAACTCCCCATCCCCTCCCCCCTAAACCTAACCCAGGGTTTTTTAGTGCGTACCATATACACGAAAAAAACACTTTTGGCGTATAAATGCCACGAGAAATGACACTCGTGGTATAGATACGCATCTTCATGAGACTGTGTTGATATACATACATACATACATACATATATATATATATATATATATATATATATATATAGGCTATATATATATATATATATATATATATATATATGTATGTATATTGCCTATGCTATAGGCTATAGGCTATAGGTCGAGCACGAAATAAATGTAAGCTTACTACTGCGTCCAACAGAAGTGACAGTGTTTTATTCATTTAGAAATCCTACAATTAGACTTTCTTGTGATTAAATGTTATGCTCAGAAAATAAAAACAAAAATATGAAATCGACTCAAAATAACACCAGGGGCCTTTGCATGTGTTAGTTTGCCAGAAGCTTAGATTTATAACAGATCCCGTCACCAGGAAGTTAATGTTAAATATTGAAGCTTAAAACGTTTTTTTTTTTTTTTTATGCAGACGAGACACCTATGCATTTAATGAATGGGTGAGATACGAAAATTATAAATTGTGAATTTAAATATTGCTCCTTGCATGTCACCACCGCAGAACTTTGCCATACACTCATTCCAGAATTAAAATTAAACCAGTATCAGCATCAGTTGGTTTTGACTTAAATTTATGCACGTAGTATTTAAGATCTTTATATGCCGAGCTTTGACAGCAGTGTATAGGCTACACTGAGCAAATAATGATCGAAGGAATAGCACAACTTGAAAGTGGACTAGAGCTTGCCGAAGGTGACAATTGAAGCCGCTGAGTAACGACAGACCTTTTACACCCTTACTAATCTAGACCGACATTAAGTGCAGGTTGCAAAGGCAATAGGCTGCGGATCTGTTCACTGTCTGACAATTAAACTGTTCGGACTTGAGCAGAAACGTAAATTAGGTCTGCTGGAGACTATAAACTAGAGATAATCGTGTTTAAATCTGCGCATGGTGAGGACAGAGGCAACTTTTCATTTCTGAGCCCAAGAGTTAATGTAGCCTACTAGGCTACTTGATATATAAAGAATTAGGCTATAATAAGACACCTGAAGTATGATCTGTTCATTACTGCATGCATCACCAGAATAAAATCAATAGCGTTTAATTTGGCTTGAGGCAATTGACAGACAGTTGCGTTTAAATGTGAAGAGCCCCCAGGCAAACTGTGAATATGTTACAGTTTGAATGAAATTCTTGAATATTAATACTTTCAGGAAAGAAAAAAGCTATTTCTTATCTTTAAGCACGTGACTTTCAAGGTCAAGGTTAAGGGCTGATTTAGTGCTTACATCTTCTGTAGTCGAGCGCCCCCTCCTTCTCGGCCAACATCAAAACACTCCCGCTATAGCTCTAACCGTGAGGAGAAAAAGACCCATATATTACCAAGTTTTGAAACCACTGTTCATGAATGTATATGAAATTGTTAGGATACATAAGTGCTCCAGATTGCTATAACATTTCTTTTATAAACTTTACTTTTTTACCTTAAAGAAAATTCTAAGGCGCTCTGAGTTCACGTGTTTGCATTCACATTGTAAAACAATAAAGGTCTAAAATTCCCAAAGGCTCCATAACAAGCCATTGTTATGATGAATCATACATTTGATGTATAATTTCAAGAGATTAATGCACATTTAAATTGAAAAAAGGTTTCTACATCTGCCAGAAATCGATAACATTAAAGTGCTACAAATTTTCTTTACCCAGTTTTAGAAAAATGGCAGAAACTGTTTGTCAGTATCATCATGTCACCAATGGCATCAGCCAATTTGACAACAGAGGACTGAAAAGAGTCATTGGGCGACGCTCAATGAGAATAATACATAAAAAGGCTACTACTTTGCTATGAAAACAGTGAATGGAATTAACATATTTATTAAGGTTTGTGATATATATGTTATTATGTTTTACAAGCGATATAAACATAGTATATAGGTACTGACAGGTATTGAGTAATAAGGTATAGGACTACAACAACAACGACAACAATTGACATAGCCTATATAACATTTAAATGCAAGCTAAAAGAAGACTAAAATACTTCAAACGAACACAGTTACATATAGGCAGGCACGTGCGTTATATACAAGCTATATTGTCCTTTCATGTTTTCCATTTATTAAGTTTAATCATTTTTGAGTCCCATTCTTTTCTTTTCTTTTTTTCTTTTTTCTGTTGGTGTAAATGCGAAAAGAAACCCCCAGTCCAAAAAAACGTCCTCGCGACGATTTTTTCTCTTTTATTCTTTTCTTTATTTGAAGTCACCGAGAAAAACAGTCGGAAAACGACAAAAATGCAGTTTTGCTTTATGGCGCACTGTTCTTAACTTTGGCAATGAATTTCTTTTCCTTAACCCTCCTGTTTTGAAACCAAATCGTGATTTGACGCTCGGATAAGTTGGTTGCCGCTGAAATCTTTCTCCTCTTGTCCTTTGTGATGAATTTGTTGGCTGCATATTCTTTCTCCAGTTCCTTGAGTTGTACTTTTGTGTACGGTATCCGCTTCTTTCTACCTCGACGGAATGAGCCCCCGTCATGTTGGTGGGCCACAACATCTGGAACGAATAACAAAAAGGTTTATTAAATAATGGGCTCGTTCATTGTCTACCTAAACTACGTTTAGCATTTGTAGATTTTTGGAGTTAATCAAGTTGACAATGTAGACATATGCAGACGTTATTTGATTAGTAAATTATATATTTCTTTATAAGCGAGTAGTATTTGTGTGCTTTAGAGAATATCTCAAATAAAACATGCCTTCTGTCTGACCAGAAGAGTAATATCTTGGATATTTGTGAAAGTTTTGGCTATACCTTAACGCTTAAAAAATATTTTGAGCACTCTCATTTCAGACGAAATATAGTTATAAAACGTACCCGCTAATGCAGACTTCCAGAGATGGCCAGCCTGGCTCTGGTCCTTGGAGCAATACATCTGACTACCCCATCCGTTAGCCAGAGCCCAAGGTTGATAGCTGTCCATAGGCAGGAGACTATCGTGTCGCGGCTCTCCCGTTCCAAGCGTCTGTACCACTGACACGTCCAAATAACTGGCCATGGACTGGTAGGGACTGGGGTAGCTGTGGTAAAAGGCGAACTCTTTAGCCCTGCTAGGATATTCTTCAGATGTGACCGGGGTATCCATGTATTTTTCAGCAGAGTAGCTGAGTGCGCTCGGCTGCGTGCAGGACTTGAGGGAACCCCGCCCCATTCTGCAAGGATAATAGCTGTTGCCAAAGTAGCCGTACGGGATGGGACCGGTGGACGAGGCCTGTGGAACCGCTGGGCAGGGTGTGCACTGCTTGCCCGGCTCTGCAGAACTTGAAGTCGATACGTCCACAGTGGAATAGCTGGAGCCGTGGACGAGGCTGGACGGGTGGCTACTCAAAGCCGAGTGGGCCATCAGATTCCTGCACTGGTTGGCCGCAAAATTGCCACTTCCAACCAGACCCTCCATGTTCTTCAGCTCATCCAAGTTGTTTTCATATACAAACATAACCGTGTCCGCCCAGCGAGGATTCAGGACCAAGGAGGTGGTCATAGCACGCTCACCATTCGGACGGAAAATTATGTTGCAAAGACTAAAGTCCGAAGCAGGACACTCAGTTACATTGGTACAGCTGCATTGACGCAATGGACTACAGTCTGCATTGCAGTGCCTTCATTGGATAAGAGCTGTACCACGTGCCGCATAAAATAAACCTTGACTGAAGAATGTCAAAGATTTTTTTTGTCAAGACCCAGTTAAATGTGTAAAAGTTATCTTCAAATGCTGCCTTGCCTTTTGCATTAATCTACTCTAATACACTTTTTGTTCTTTAATTCACTAAGCATTTAATCGCATAGCCTATTTGGTTTTGTGGGAGAAAAAACATATGTAGCGTATAAGTCTGATGCTATACTTGTTATTTTAATGTTAAGTCATTGAAAGAATGTACAGTTTAAATTTAAATTGTTGTTAAACAAATATAGTCGCAATATATAGGCTGTGATGAAGGAGTTTTGTTTTTATTTTCTATAGCCTTCATGTTCATGTCATATTACGCACTGAATGTGCCTACGCGCTACGCGTACTTGCTACACGAAATAATATAATTTATATAGAAATATTCATGGCAGCTCCCTTGCTGATCATCAAATACTATAATAATTTCTCCCAACCCTCACAGCAAAAAGCAATAGAAATGTTTAAATGGGTCATACTTTTTATTTAGGATTTAATTACACATTGGCCAAGTACACGTTGAAATGCCTTTAAATCATTACAGACATTTTAAAGGTCCATAATCAGCAGTGCCAGATGTATAAATTATTTATCATTACCATAAAAAAATGAAAAATCATAACTTGTCTCATACATAAGATTGAACAACGCCTGGAAGCATTTTTTGAAATACTTGACACAATCCGCTGAAATAAAGAGGCAAAATATCTACTTTCAAAACGGTTCCCTCGGTTGTTATTCAAAAGTCTCTATCGCTTCTATAGAATAAGAACTGCAGCTGTACAAATCACAAATTATAGAAATGATTATTATAGAGTTTGTAAGGTGTTGAAAGATTTTTAGATCAACGAGTTGTGTGCCTATTTTTACTTTACATTCTATCGATGACTGTGCGTTACCCCATCATTTTTTTATTTATTTACTTTTTCTTTTGAAAATGACTAAAATCGTGAATTCCCCATGACCCCCCCCCCCCCCCCCCCCCAAAAAAAAAAAAAAAAACACTCGCTATCAGCACTCTGCCTCTGGAAACTGAGATCCGGTATCAAACAATCGAAAACAAAATCGTGTGAATTTGATCTAAACTCAAGTGAGATTCGCTTGTAAGCGAAATGTAAAAGTATTAATGCGAAAAAATGCCCCCCCCCCCCCCCCCCCCAAAAAAAAAAAAAAACATAAAAAATTACATGCATTTCTATAACCTGATATTTTTAAATATTTCAGAGGCTTAAAGCATGCACGTGTCATTGTGTGTGGAAAATGCAGGGAACAACAAGATGCTTCCCCTTTAATCCTCTTTCTCACACACACACCTCCCCAGACTGCTGTCTTTACATAAAGGTCAGGCAAGGCCCTCAAGGTCAAGGCCAAGTTTAAAGGGATGAGCCCTCCCTGAAGGGCCTGTTTAGGAGGCAATGATAGAAGCAGTCCCTCCTTAGGCAAACTATCCAAGTTCAAGGTCTCTGAATCTAGCAGGAATAATAAAAAAAAGCCTACAGACAAACACAATTGCTCGGATTTCAAAGAAATGACTCAAACCATCATCTTCAGAATGTAATTTAAGTTACTTGAAATTCAATAGATCCAAAATAAGACGAAAATTATTCACTACACGCATTTCGTGTTGTTTAAAACTTGTGAATCATCAATGAATTTCCATTACCACAGCTGTTACTCTGGGTTCACATGATATTTTTGTAGTCAGGGCTATAAGAAGCCCCACACATGTCGTGCCTGTGCAAAGCTTTTACTGTATACAGGAAATGCTTTAATGGTTTAATTGTAAAAAGCCCTGCCCACATGCAAGGGGTCTTACAAGAAACTCTGTACGAATTAACTTACATCTTCAGAAGACTGGCGCATATTCATTAAGGACAGGGTAAGTTTTACAAATAAAATCTTATTGATACAATATTTAAAAAATGTAAGCGTAATGGAAGCAGTAAAGTTCAAATGACAGATAGGTAAAGTAAAGTGATAGCACGCGAAAGCTAAATTAGCTAGCTGGCCTACGTTTTGCGTTTTAAGTTTCACGTGAATCGATGTATGAATTCATAATATCAAAAACAACCTTTATTTTAAACGCAAAACGCAAGGTATTCCACCCTACAAAGTAGCCTAATGTTCCACCTTTCTTTGCCAAACATTTTACGTTGTTTTGTTTTTTACGACGCTATAGGCTACCTAATGAGATTGTTCATGCGACGTGAACTGCAGCAGTTATTGCACAATTACTCACTAACAACTTTATTACAAACATCTCGGTGTTAAGAACATTTTTTAAATGTTAAATGTCATTTTACATATCAAACTACAATAAATGGTTTAAATATACATTTCAGTTTCATTCATTTGTATCATAACATTACATAACATAGCTAATATCATTGTTTATGCACGAGAGTAGCCTATACGGTTGGCGTCCGTTCGGTGAAATGGTAAACGATAAAAAATATATTTTTTTATTGAAATCCTATTACAAAACTGTTGAACGTTTCTGCATACTTTTTTGCACACGGAGTAATTATGTTTCAATAAAGCGTGAGCAACAACATCTAAAAGTATGAAAAGTATGAAAAGCGTGAAAAAAGCGTGAAAAGTATGCATTGTGCAATTTGCCTTTCTGTACTTTGTGAGTCAACCGGCTAAGATACATTATGGTTACTGTCACTCAGGCTACTTTCAGCACTGTTATGTCCCCTCAAATTAAATTTCACCGAAAATTTTAAACTTTCACTTATTTGCGCGTCCTCGTGTCGCAATTTGCAAACCTCTGTGACTTTCTAGAATACAAAAAGAATATTGAATAAATAAAGTTTGAATAAAGTTCGGGTCCAAACGACACTGGACACCAATGACTTGCAAACAATTTTTTTACACAAATATCTCCTTGTGTGATCCACAGAAACAAAAAAAGGCGACTTAAATTTGAAACGACATGAAGGTGAGTAAATGAAGACCGAATTTTACGTGAACTAATCCAAAATAAAATAAAAAAAATATATAAAAAACAGCCAGCAAATGGTGAAGAATTCTTAATATTGTTTCCTTTAATAAAATGTCTGTACACATTATTGTGATATAGAATTCTGAAAATTTAATCCTGAGAATTGTAATCTCACTCATAGGTTTTAATATAAACTGACAATGGCTGGTTTTACCAAAGCACTTAAGCAAAAAGTTATCACGCAGCCTAATCGACATGTTACATATCCAAGCATAAAAACAATGTGCATAATAAGGAGCACTGTACACCACTCGCTATTGCAAATAAAAAAGGAACTGTATAATACTCTGACAGTTCATCGGAGACAAAGCCAAATAAAATATTAATTAAGGCTATTCGATATTAATGACTTGTGGTTATACCAAGGTACACCATGTATTAAGATTTTACTCTTTTTCAGTTAAAGTATAGCCTATACAAATGCAATAATGTCACATGAAACATGATACTGCAGTAGTGTAAATAAATAAATAAGTGAGTGAGTGAGGGGACATATGTAAATTAGCCTTTACCCAGTCACCATTTTCCTCTAATGGCAGGTCAAAATCTGCCCAAGTAACCTATTCTGGCATATTGCATATTTTTATACGGCAGTCACAACAATGATTTAGCTAAAAACGCCCCTTTTCATAATAGTAATTATAAAAAGTCGCATAGCATCTTAAATCACTTTTACAATTACAGTTTCAAAGTCTCAAAATCCGACATATCATTATACATAGCATACGTTTAAATTGTCAAATGTACATGACAATATCCAAGTAGCTATAAATCAAATCCTGCATGACAATAAAATTGGAAATTGTGTCGTGAAACCATAGAATTTATTATCCCCTATTAATTTAGGTATTTTGGCAAAACCAGAGATGGTTAATAGACCCACTTTTTAAAAAATAAGCTCACACCAAGAATTTTATCCAGTTAAATCATATATTCCTACTCTGATCCTTCAATCTTCAGGGGCGTAGTTTTTGACAAAAACATGGGCTATGTGAATTTCAGAACACCAGGTTACCATGTAAAATGATGTAATGTCCCTATGACTCTATAAGAGTATCTGTGGACGAAACTGCCTTACAAATAAATAAAATGGATAGTATTTCTGTATTCATCACCACATAACACAATCTCTGTATGTTTCAGTGTAATATAAAAGGATGGTATAGACCAACAAGAAAGAGGGGAAAGTTTACCTCAGCTGTTATGACCAGAAAATATTAGCAGAATAACAATTATTTAAATTATTAATTTATAACTATACTAGTAGTATAGTTACTAGTGAATATACTACAATTATTCATGGAAATTATATATATATATATATATATATATATATATATATTTTGTGGAAGGACTATTTTTGTACATTGCAACATTGCAGAGCTGGGATAGGACTCAATTTCTTTTTTGGAAAGGGGGAATAAGACTGATTCGGGGGGGGGGGTATATTGCTATATTGACAAATTATCTGAATCAGAAGCCTTAATGCTCTTTTACATCTGTGCAGAATGCATTTTAATATAATGCACTTGTATGGGTTTTAAAATGACTAAATTAACACATTATCATACATCATCTGTCACAGCTTTCTGATAATGACTGATCGCAATGGCAATCTGAGAGCGTAGGATGCACATTTCCCAAAACTGCTCTTTATATGCACAAAATAGAGTTAAGAATGCTGTCTAATCATTTTGGATTGACATGATATGAAACAGGACATCACGGAACCAGCCTATTAAAATTTAATGATACATGTAAATATGGGTCACATAAGCTTAATCTTTATCATTATGTTCTTTCATTATTAAAACTACTGCTACAAAATATACATGTATATTATACAATAGCCTTACACTGTCACAACACAAAAT